TGCATTTTGTTCGCAAATGTCTATGGGTCACAGCAACCGGTGGACTGTGCGCTCATTTGTCACCCAATCCTGTAAAAGAAAACTAGTATAATGCAGTTATATTCTACCGGTATTCAGAACGAGCGTGGTCCTTCACCGGTCGAGCCGACCTAAAGATGCAGTGTGACTCTTTCAGGTTACTTGTTTGCACAGTATGGTTGGCGTTTAGCCATTTTTCATTAATAAATATAACGTTATCCTAATTGGTTATATTTTTGATTTCTCGTAAAAGTGTTATTCTTTGAAATCAATGTTACTATCATTTTATTCGAATTTGAATCATTCCCACACAGCGGTAAGGTACATTAGGATATATCATTGAAACAAAGTCAAGCAAATATGATGACTCTGGTTACATTGTTTATATTTTGCTTTGTTTAAAAGATTCGAATTTAAATTAGTGATTAAGAACTATAGCTCTAGTAATGAAATACAGATAAATTCATAATTATTTGAATTTACATAAAAGGTTATTTTAAATATTGTGAGTACGCTTGTACAAAGTTATTGCGTAATAATTAATGTCAAACGCCAAAGGGTATTTCTTATTCTTTAGTTGACTAGTTCCCGTACTTTAGTATTGAAAGGTCAAAACACGTCCAGATAATTTAATTAGATCACTAACATCAATCACATACCAGTAGCAGATTAGGTACGCCAAAGTCAACGTATTGTCGATAAAAATTTTGCCTTAACAAAAATAAAAATTGTGCTTTTGTGGTCGTCACTCCATCTAGTGGGTGTCGCCCTAAACTTCGCATACCGAGGCTGACACTCAAGTTCCATTTTTTTCCATCGGTTGTCGGTTCTTCAAGCTATATGGCTAGCCTATTGCCACCTCAGCTTACTTACTAAACGTAAGTCATTACGGTTCTACTGCGGATATCCTCACTTCTAAGTAATAAGCATAGCCCTCTCCATTAGATCGCTAAGGGATCTTGAGTGTCCTTATACGGCCAGCAGTGTAGGACCACGTCTCAGTTCCATAGGTCATCACTGGTAACACGCTCTGATTGTACAGTCTCGTTTTTAGGTTTTAAAGTATAGATAAGAAGATTTATAGTAATTTCCCTAACGCTACCAAGCCGAGTTGAATCCGTCAATTGACCTCTTGGTCCAAGTTGGACTTACTTAATCGGACTATTTGTCCCAGGTAAACATACTCGTCAACAAATTCGAGCGCGCTCCCAACAACTACCGGCATAGTTGTGACATGAACGTTACACATGATCTTCATTTTTTTCATGTTCATCATAAAACCTATCCGGTGGGAGGCACTATTGAGGTCACTAAGCATAGTGTTTAGGTCCTCCAGCGATTCTGCCTTAAGAACTTAATCGTCGACAAATCGTAGGTGAGTGATGTACTCGCCATTGTTGTTAATACCGTATCGTTTCCAGTCCAGTAGCTTGAAAATATCTTCCAATGCATCGGTGAAGAGTTTCGGGGATATGACGTCACCCTGTCTTACGCTTCTACGCATACGTATGTATGTAATTACTCTAAGTCTTCAATTATCTGTGGGATTAAACTATCGTCAAAATATTCCAAAAACTTCGCAATGGGCCACATCAGCTTTATGTAAATTATATAACGAATAAAATACATATCAGATGAGGCTATATGATCTTACACCTTTCCCTTCCTTAATTGGCAAATTATAAAACAGATGTCACAAGTCAGCAAGTCACAACAATCAAGAAAAAACGCGGGAACCTTGAAACTATGTTCTTCAGATGTAGTGTTGGGTAGGACACGACATAAAATAGAGTTTGTAAGAGTAGCCTCTTTTTTGCACTGAGCCAGTACAATGTCCCACTTCAAATGAGGTGAGGCTAATGAGGTTTGGAATTTGGGCGAGGCGTGGTGAAGCTCGACGATACGTTTGAAGTTACGAGTGTAAATATGACATTTGACGTTATTGCCGTACAGTTACAATCTGTACTCTGATTGAAGACATTGACTATGAAACGATTATACGAAACGACGATTACTCGTATATTGGTTGTAAGTAGGTAAATAAAAAGATAAAGAAATATATTTTAAAGAATATAATAAAAAATCTTGCAAATACAATTATAAATTAGAATGTAAAAATAATATTTGCGCGACTTTGTTGCCACTAAGCTGGTTCGTCCGTCCGCTCGGAAGGCACTGAAGTGGCAACAATACAAAGCCGTTTTAAAAATAACTTATAAAGCCTAGGATAGGCGTCCTTTTTAACAAACCACCACTTGGCAGGATTTTGGGACCTTGGCAGTAGGGGTTCCTTGAGGTATTTATCGACTTCGATAATACTCCCTGCAGTCGGATTAATATTTTTATTATCATATCCAATTGCTCATCAAACTCATTCTATATGCTACGTTTACGCTTAAGGGATGGCGACGAAGATGGCGGCTCTGATGTACATGTGCTTTGTATTTGAATTCGCCCGGCCATGGCTTTGATATTTGTACATGCTTTACTGTAAGCGTACTCATTCTCAAACCCATATTTTTTGAATCTTGGATCTAATATAGTGCTTTCAGCAAAAATATTATTCTCCTCAATGCACGAAAACCTTGTGCTAATTTCATTTAAAAGCACTTGGGTCATTCGTAAAATACAGTCCGGATGTGGCGTAGATAAAAATTTTAGGCATTTCTTTTTTGAGGGCGTTTGATATAAGTATAACCTGAAATTTATAAAACACCTCATACATGAAAAAAAGAATGTTAAAATTGAAAATACGAAATAAATGCGTTATCTATTACTTCACATCTGATATTGTAACATTCTTTTCTGAACTCATCTCCTCAGTTACATCTTTGAAAATGAAACAATTTCTATTGCCGAATCCAAAACATCAATGTCTTCAGAAGTCATATTTATAGTATCAGGATAATCGATAGCAATTGTGGACATAACACTGTTTTTAATTTTTAACACCCTTTCAAACATATCACACGTGGAATTCCAGCGTGTGTAAACGTCTTGTTTTATCTTCAATAGGGGTTCATCTAGCTTCTTTTGCATATTTTTTAATCTCTCAAATGCAAGTGGACTTCTACGAAATAATTCGACAATTTGTTTAATTTTTGTGGTAATATCTTTTATTTCTTTTAATGCAGATTGGACTATAAGGTTGAGAGTATAAGCGAAACAAGGTATATGCTTCCAATTATTAAGTCTTATAGCAGCTTTGATATTATAAGCGTTATCACTGATAGCTGCTACAATTTTGTCAGTAATTTCCCAATTATCTGTAATTCTTTTTAGTTCTTGTGTTAGGTTTTCTGAAGTATGTCTATCTGGAAACTGTATACATTCCAACCAAAAAGATTTTAATTCTGCTTGTTGATTAAAAAAAATGTATTGTCACGGCTAAGTAATTATCATTGGGGGCTGATGTCCACCCATCAGTTGTAATGCACACATGTTCTACTTGACAGAGTTCTGACTTAACCTTTTCTTTTGTTTGATTATAGACATTAGTTATCAATGCATTAGATAACGTCTTACGACTAGGTAACTGGTAGGCTGGATTTAATTCTTTAATAAAATCTTTGAGTTCAGGGGATTCAATGAGATGGAAGGCTAAGTAATTTTTTGGGAATAATTTTACGAGCATTTTGTTTAGATGTTCAGTTTTTTACCAGAAAGCGGTTTATAAAAGTACTGTGTTAGTTTGGTGTTAGTGGCTGGAGTTCTTTTATATAGGTTGGTGTTTTAGTGGTGGCTGGTAAGAAATCAGGTGTTTCAGGCATGACATAAGTTGAAGCAGTAGATGTGGAAGCAGTAGGCATCTCAAGTTCTTGTGCTATCGAATCAGTGGAATGTGTTGTCAAATTATGGATTTCTGTTGCAGAAGAAGCTATATTTACAATCGGACATTCACGTATAGTGACAAACACTTGTGGATGCTTGCTTTTTTGTGTCTGATTAGGTTGTAAGCACCACCGCCTTTGTATGAAAATTCTTTCTGACAAAAATTGCATTTGGCTTTATCATTGTTGAGGTCCTTAAAAACTGCCAAGCTTTTGAGGATTTTCTATCACCATCACCAGACATACTGCGCATGCAAAAAGCAAACAGAAAAAATGTCAAATAAAGTAAACATCTGAAAACCGTTATTAACAGGGGATATTTTATTTGTGTAGCCTGGTAACCCTTAAATAGGGTATCTATTTTGATTTGACAAAAGCCCTGCCGCTGCCGCTCGCACCGGTGAGGTGTCTTGGCCAACGGACAATCGACATTCGCTAAAATATCTTTTACTTAAATACTCATACCCACACCTATAACTGTACAAAGTTTATAGGTATCTTTTATTCAAATGTCGTCATAAACAAAAGTATCAACTCAGACGAACAAAAATATTAAAACCACAACAAAATTAAAACACGAACACAAAGTAGCCATACAAACAAAAATAAATAAGTATTGAAAGACATTCATAAAACATGAATAAATACAAAGACTTACATACCTGAATATATACCTAAATTAAAATATCTATTCACTTAAACTACACAAACGAAGCATCAAATTAAAAACTTTTGCACTGGTCACTGACTCAAGTACGTTACGATTACGTTAGTACTCTTATTAGCTTGTGGTTACGATATTCAAAACACATATAAATGGAAACAGTTCGCTGCAACGTGCGCCTCACAGTATTTATTAATATCAATGTCAGCGACATATTTCCCTCTCGCTCGAGATTCGAAACACGGTCAGGTAATGTTAATTTTAGAATGACGTACTATTGTAATTTGTAGCATGCATTTCGCTCCCTCTCTGTCCTCATGTTATAGTTTTACGAAGACGGAGAGTGAGTAAGGCGACTTCGCGACTGCCGCGACATAAAATTTGAAGTAGTACATTATAAAATGCCGAGCCGCTCTTACATTTTGTCGTCATGTACAGGACAAATGTAACGCCTTTTGTATGTCCTGCTCAACACTATTCACATGAAAATGTATAGTGGAAAGCAGGCTTCAACTCCTGAAACTGGATCAAAAACTGAAAAACTTGTATTAAAGTTGATGCGGCAATGCATATTATGTGGACATCATCTATTTATGGACAACGACTACAAGTCTGTGAGCTTGTCACAAAAATTACTTGAATTGAGAACTCATACAACTGGCACTTTACGTACAAATCGCAAAGATAACCCTAAAGACATAGTTAATAAAAAACTGAAGAAAGGTGAACATGTGTGGGTACGCAAGAATAAAAAGGCCCCTCGACGCCATCGTCGACAGGCGTTCTGGCAAATCATGCACTTAAATCATTGAAGTAATATGTACTATACGTACTAGAACTGCTATCTGTGTGCTGCTACTCTGTGTTCGGGCGGTTGGTTTGTTTATCATAGAATAAACATAGGTAGAATGATCCGTAGGTAATAGTAGATTATATTTTTAAATAGGTAAATTATATCGAGAACAATATTTAAATTTAGTTATTTATTTTGTATATTATATTTGCTTATTTAATATAATATTACATAATATTATATCACAATTACATTTTAATAATATTTTTATCTGAATATTTTAAAAGGTATGTCAAATATAAAAAAACATACTAAATGTATGTTTAACAAAACTTATTAACATAATATTTAAATTACAAATATATTTATTTAAATTAGAATAAGAGTCGTTCATAAATGCTGGGCACGCGAGAGGTAAAAATGGACGAATTTATTCCACTATGACTTTGATGTGGAAACATAAAAATAAAATAAAAGAATAATAAGCAGATCTAAATATGAAAAATTTAGCCCAATTATAATAATTTATATATGTTTCTACAAAAAAAATGTGTGTAATAATATATTCTTCCTACACTTAAGTACCCACAGAAATGTCGCATCTGAACATATTAATTTCATAATTTATATTCCATGACACGAGATGGCGTCTTAGGAATAATTTGTTTAATTATTAATCAATAATACCTGGTTGCGCGGAAAACCATTCGTATTTTTTTATTTTGACGGCAGGCTGCCAAATCGCTTATCCCTTTCCAAAACGATATCATTCCTACCCTCCTATCGACACATCGGGGTGGTGGGGTGGAAGGGAAAGAAGATGATTCTAGAATATCACGTAATCATCGCAACCGAAGGAATAAAAGGCACGCGCGACCGACGCGCGCTCTCTTCCCGCCGCGCTCGTCGTTGGAACCACACCGCTTAAGACAATAGTGTCATAGAAGTATATCCGCTTTAGCCTGGAAGCAGTCGAGCTCCAGGAAACCCGCCTCACCTCGTGTGAGAAATAGTCGCGCACCACACTCTCCTCCGACGCGTCATCGGACAAGAAAGGCAGAGTGCCTGTCCAGAAGAAGTTCCAGAAGTCGCAGCTATAGTGCCCAACAGCATAGAAAAAAGACCCCGGTGAGTGAATATTCCTAATAATATTGCCTGCTTGATATAATTGTGTTTTAACCCGCTCCAATTTTGTTTTCTCCTAATCAAGCAGGATTGCTTTCATCGATTTGGCAAATAATAGTTCGTTTTTAGGGAAGAGCGAGTGCATTGTACCGGGTGCTATAGTAGTCATTATATAAGCGTAGAAGCATTTAGCAGATACAGTCCACTTTAGTTAATATCTCTCGTAATAGGTTTAAGGTTCGACCGGGGAATTAGACTTCGGCAACCTTAAGGCTCGACGCTCCACCATTTTATGGTCACCTCGGCAGGATTTGGACTGGTGTTTAGTAGTCGTTCAGCCATTTTCTGGTCGAATTATTAAATTAATTATTTAGATAATGCACTCTAGTTTATGGAATAGTCTTAAATAGTGTTCGTTTAAATTTAAATTTTGGTTAGGTACTCGCAAACAGAATTATTCATTTAAATAGTGTTTGTATTTGGTTTAAATTTAAAGCTTATTAGTCGCTTAAATAATTGAAACAGTGTAATCGCAACCGTTTGGTACGCTTACCCGACAATTTTGATAAAAATATTGAGTTTAGCGAGGGACACGCGTAACAGGTGTTCGATTTAATTACGTAATACGGCATACGAGTGTCCATTCTCCATTATTTGTGCGTTTTGAGATTAATTGTGATTAATATAACTTTATTATAATAATTTAAAATGGCAGTTAGTGGAAATGAAATTAAAATTAAAACGCTTTATGCCAAGAGGGACATATTTTTTTCACGTATACAAAGTATTAGTGATCACATAAAGAACATCAATGTAGAAGCAGTGCGGGAAACCTTTTTGAATGAAATTGAAACGGTGGATTCTTTGCGGACGGATTACGAAAGAATATTAGACCAAATTAATCACTTGGAATTACAAATCGACCCGAAATACATAGTGAACTACCAACCGCTTCTAGCATTTGAAGATATGTTGTGTCGCGTGAAAAGAACGGCGAAACTCTTACAATCTCAAAACTAAGCAAAGCCGGAAATACAGGTACGTCCACGTGACTCAATTAGGTTGCCGCCAATAGATATTCCGGTATTCAATGGTGATATTAAGACATGGCCCTTCTTCTTCAGTAGTTTTCAAAACAATATACACAATAACCCATCGTTATCGGACGCTGAAAAATTATATTATTTAATTAGTAAACTTAGTGGCAGGGCACAGTTAATTTGCTCGGGTTTTACACCTACAGCAAACGATTACTTGTTAATATTCGAAACGCTTAAAACTAAATATGAAGATGGGAGAATGTTAGCTTCCGAATATTTGAACCAGATATTCGATCTTAAACCTATATCATCCGCAAACATCAACGGCTTACAGCAGTTTTTAGATAAATTTGTGGCATCGGTGGCTGCACTTAAGAATTTGAAATTTAATGACCTTATGGACGTGGTGTTTCTCCATATTGCACTAAAGAAATTAGACCCCGACACCGTGCGTGCGTTTGAAATGGAGCATCGTAGCTCGGAGATGCCTTCCTTTCATTCATTAGCATCGTTCGTGCGAGATCAAATAAAGGTGATGCAGCGCTCTCCGAATGTTAAACAGGAGATTAAAAGGTGCGTCGACCGTAGACAGACTCAACCATCTAAAATAGCAGGGTCGTCAACTTACGTAACCGCTACGTCAGCATCACATCTGCATGCTTGCATCGTATGTAAGATAAACACGGTAATTTATATAATTGTGCGACTTTTCGTAAATATTCACCAAGCGAACGTTATAAATTAGTAAAGACAAACAACCTATGTCTGAACTGCTTAAGTGATAAGCATTTAGTTGCAAAATGCAATTCGAGTTCCCTATGTAGCAAGTGCGCCAGGAAACATCACACGCTATTACATTTTGAAAATAGCAACAAAGCGGCGTCAAGTAAAGGGGATAAGGATTCACCCCTACTAAAGTCAACGATTCTAGCGGTCGACCTGGTGATGTCGCTCTGTGCTCATTGGCAAATATGGGAGCACAACCTCCTTCAACCGTGTTACTGGGTACGGCGCGTATTTTGGTTAGGGATTCGCGTGGAAACGAACAAAGCGTCCATGCACTGCTGGACAGCGGAGCCCAAAATAGCTTTATAACGCGACAATGTTGTCAGCGCTTAGGCTTAGTAATAAATACGTCACTTTCATGTCCTGTAGTCAAAGGCATCGGAGGTACTAGTAAAGCTACCCAGGGATTTTATTCTCGGATAGATCGTAATGTTAACTTTGGTATAAATGCACTAGTAGTGGATAGGGTCACTGAACGGCTGCCAACCGTTTCGGTTGACACCTCGGCAATGATTGAATTTAAAAATTTGACTCTAGCGGACGACACTTACGCCGTTCCTGGAAACATAGACATGCTCATTGGAGCATCGCTTTTCCCTCATCTTTTGCTAAACAATAAGGTCAGGGGCAACTCCTCGCATACCGCGCCTTACGCACTGGAAACCGTATTGGGCTATGTCATCGTTGGCTCCGCCCCCATCATGGATAGTATTTCGGCAACCTCTTATTGTGGTATGGCTGTCGAACCGCTCGAGTCGTTAGTCCGCAAATTTTGGGAGATGGAGGAGGTGAACGTCCCACCCATAGCTAGCTCAGATGACAGATTATGCGAGGAAATTTACGTCCGCACGACCATTCGAGATCGCGACGGTAGATATAGTGTAGCGCTACCCTTTAAAGGAGATGTTTTATCTCTCGGCGATTCGCGTCAAATGGCGGAAAAACGTTTATACAGCTTGGAGCGTAGGATGCTCACTTCACCCCAGTTAAAGGAAGCTTATGACGGCGTCATTAACGAATATATAAGAGAAGGCACTTGTGACTTCGAAATTAGATAACTACGAAGACACACCGTCGTATTTCATACCACACCACGGGGTCATTAGGGAGGACAAACTTACATCTAAGTTACGTGTAGTGCTCGACGCTAGTGCTAAAACTAGCACTCACCTGTCGCTTAACGATATCCTCTATAGTGGGCAAAATTTACAGGGCAGTTTATTTAATATAATAGCCAATTTTCGTTTGTTTAGTATAGCACTATCCGCCGATATTCGCCAAATGTTTCTTTGCATAGGGGTCCGTGAATGCGACCGTAGATTCCAACGCATTTTATATCGTTTCAACCCAAAGGTACCTCTAATGGTGTTTGAATTTAACCGCGTTTGTTTTGGTTTAAAGTCGAGCCCATTTCATGCGTTACGCACGGTGAAACAGCTCGCCCACGATGAAGGTCCCTCTTACCCTAAAGCTAAGAGGGCAATTGAGAGCGGTTTATATATGGATGATTTTGTATACTCGGTCGATAGCGTGGAGGAGGCCACCCTAACCACCGCCGAGGTTATAAAGCTCATGAAATCGGGTCAATTCGATCTTGTGAAGTGGACTAGTAATTCGCGTCCGGTTTTAGATACAATCCCACTATCACACCGTCTTTCGGCGATAAAGGAATTCGACGATTCTGATACACACAAGGTGCTCGGTCTGTGTTGGTCACCAGAGTTCGACGTGTTTAGCCTTAAGGTAAATCCGCCCGTAGAGAAATGCACAAAGCGCACAATACTGTCATGCGTTGCTAGATTATGGGACGTCATGGGTTTCGTAGCTCCGGTGGTATTATACGCTAAGCTTTTGATTAAACAACTTTGGTTATTTGAACGCGATTGGGATGACTCGCCGCCTGACAGCATTGTTCGGTTGTGGCAGCGTTTTAGAGAAGAACTTCCTGTACTAAGAGAAATTAAAATACCGCGTCATATAAACGTCGATAGAAATAGCGTCATAACGGTCGTTGGGTTTGCAGATGCCAGCGAGAAGGCTTACGGGGGGCGTTGTATATTTCCACGTTCAGAATAATGGTAGAAATTCGATTAGCCTCATTAGTTCTAAGTCAAGAGTCTCCCCCCGTAAGGTTGTCTCTCTGGCGCGCTTAGAGCTTTGTGCAATATTAGTACTCACCAAGCTTATTACCGCAGTTATCAGCGCATGTAGGGATAGAGTTCACATAGAAAGGATATTTGCCTTTTCCGACTCCACCGTCGCCTTATGCTGGGTTCATTCTTCACCCCACCGTTGGGATACGTTTGTCGCGAACCGAGAGGCCAAGATCCAAGACGAGTTAGAAACGCGGAACTTTTATCACGTGTCCGGTACGGAAAACCCTGCCGATTGTCTATCCCGTGGACTCACCCCGATGCAAATAATGGACCACACGCTTTGGTTCCACGGACCTTCTTGGGTTCACTTGGATCCCTCGCAATGGCCAATAACCGATTTCGAACCTTCGTCAGTGTCACAACCGCCGGAAGAGAAGAGACACGCTCTAGTGGCGAACGTTTCGAGCGAGGTTTCTCCAATCATTGCTTTGGCGAACCGCTTGTCCTCTTGGTCGAAATTATTGCGTAGCGTAATTTACGTTTGTCGATTCGCGAAGCTTTTACCGCGACGTTCGTATGTCTTAGCGTCCGATTACAACTATGCCGAGTCGCTAGTATTACGTGAACTTCAACGTGCACACTTCTCTGAAGAAATTACAAGATTACAATCGAATAGAGCTTGTAGTCGCGCCTTTCAACGCCATAAGCCATTTTTACAGGATGGGATTGTAAGGGTAGGTGGACGCTTGTCCAACTCGCAGTTGAGTTTCGACCAACGGCACCCTATAGTTTTACCGCGCAAAGACCATATCATGAATTTATTAGTCGATTACCATCATAAATTGAATTCGCACGCTGGCCCCGACTTGCTGATGTCGATCTTGCGTCAGAATTATTGGATTCTTTCTGCACGTAGTTTAATACGCAATCGGGTGCACAGATGTATAGCTTGCTTTCGGGCACGCCCCAAGCCGTCATTTCCGGAAATGGCGGAACTTAGATCTTGTAGAGTAATACAATCAGTAAAGCCCTTTACGCACACCGGATCTGATTTCGCTGGTCCGTTTAATGTCACGCTCACTCGCGGGCGTGGTATAAGATCCACAAAGGCTTACGTCTGCATTTTCGTATGTCTAACTACTCGTGCGGTGCATATAGAACTCGTTGGTGATCTAAGCACAGCAGGCTTTATGGGTGCATTTAAAAGATTTCTATCCCGCCGTGGCCCTGTAAGTAAATTATATTCGGATAACGGTACGAACTACGTCGGTGCAAAACGTATTTTATCAGAACTACATGAGCTCTTAGCTAGCAAGTATTATAATTCGGAGTTCGCTCACATTCTAGCCGAGAACCGCATTGAGTGGTCTCTGAACGTCCCAGCCGCGAGTCATTTTGGGGGCAATTGGGAGACTAATATTAAGAGTCTAAAGAGTCACTTATACCGAGTAATAGGAGATCAAATTTTGTCCTTCGAAGAGCTAAGTACGGTGCTCGCTCAAATTGAATGCGTAATGAATAGCCGCCCACTTTGTCGTACGTTGTCTAGTGACCCCTCGGAACCGCTGGCTCTAACTCCAGCACATTTTTTAAATTTAACGCCTTTAAAGTATTTGCCCGCCGTAGATATGGATGAGAACAGACTTAGCATTTCCGCACGCCACAAATTATTAGACCGGTTAGTGCAAGCGTTTTGGAAACGATAGAGGATGGAATACTTGCATACTTTGCAGTCTCGGCAAAAATGGAACACAGAACTGAGCCTTTAGCTGTAGGAACTGTAGTTGTGCTCACCAAAGAGAATACGCCGCCTCTCCACTGGCCGTTAGGAATTGTCGAAGAGGTCTTTCCCGGTTCCGACGGAGTAATTAGGGTAGCTCGCGTTAAGACCACGGTTGGGTCTTACCTGCGTCCTGTTGTCCGTTTGTGCCCCCTGCCTCTTCCATAATTTAAATTAGCTTTCTAGATTAGAAATTGTAGTTGAATTTAGGTAATCTTAGCATTAGTTAGTTATTTTGTTAGTTTGATCTTAGCTCTAGTTGTTTTAGTTATTTTTTGAAGGAAATCCTTCAAGGGCGGGGGAGATGGTTGCGCGGAAAACCATTCGTATTTTTTTATTTTGACGGTAGGCTGCCAAATCGCTTATCCCTTTCCAAAACGATATCATTCCTACCCTCCTATCGACACATCGGGGTGGTGGGGTGGGAGGGGAAAGAAGATGATTCTAGAATATCACGTAATCATCGCAACCGAAGGTATAAAAGGCACGCGCGACCGACGCGCACCCTCTTCCCGCCGCGCTCGTCGTTGGAACCACACCGCTTAAGACAATAATGTCATAGAAGTATATCCGCTTTAGCCTGGAAGCAGTCGAGCTCCAGGAAACCCACCTCACCTCGTGTGAGAAATAGTCGCGCACTACACTCTCCTCCGACGCGTCATCGGACAAGAAAGGCAGAGTGTCTGTCCAGAAGAAGTTCCAGAAGTCGCAGCTATAGTGCCCAACAGCATAGAAGAAACACCCCCGGTGAGTGAATATTCCTAATAATATTGCCTGCTTGATATAATTGTGTTTTAACCCGCTCCAATTTTGTTTTCTCCTAATCAAGCAGGATTCCTTTCATCGATTTGGAAAATAATAGTTCGTTTTTAGGGAAGAGCGAGTGCATTGTACCGCGTGCTATAGTAGTCATTATATAAGCGTAGAAGCATTTAGCAGATACAGTCCACTTTAGTTAATATCTCGCGTAATAGGTTTAAGGTTCGACCGGGGAATTAGACTTCGGCAACCTTAAGGGTCGACGCTCCACCAATACCTTTTTATTGATTAAGTATCTTATTAACCGATGAAAAGTAATTCCTTGATTTTTACTGACATTAATGAATTATTTGTGCAATATCTAATTACACACGACTGCATATTTTTATCAGAGATTTTTTTTAAATCAACACAACACGTAACAACTCTACAAGCGCTTAGCGAGTGACTGATTAAAGTGCGGTGTTTGCACCGCAGTTGAGTGGAACAGAGTAGCTGAATGCAGAGTCGCCTCCAGTACGTAGTACATAATAGCTCAATGACTTAAATGCACATTTCATGTGCCAGTATGTCCTAAGACGTTTACATCTATGTGCGTTGTGTCACAATAGGTCATTTTTGGCGCTTCATGCATGGCTTGTTTAACTAGTTCTATTAAATCTGTATAACATTGTAATGGGTTACAATAATCAAAACTATAATTTTTAATTAAATTATCTATTAATTTTGGATATTTTGACGAATCTACCAATTTTAAGTTTATGTTATTTGATACAGGTGTTTCTTTAAAATTTTGATTAAAAAAATAAAAATATAAATTTCTTTGCAACCTTCCGCTAATTAAATACAATGATGTGTCTTGCCTGGATAAAAGAGCACCTCCCGCCCTCCCTCAATTGCATGCACTAACTCCGTCACCACTAGTCCCTTAGCAGTACTAGGTACTAGGACTTAGCGGTCAGCCACCGTAGAGTCTACATTATCTGAGGGTGCCTCGTGTTGAGGCGAAACACGTGTCGTATTATCGTCGATGGTGTGTCTTACCTGGAATAGTGGTGTTGGGAGTAGTGGTGCTGGGACTAGTGGTGACAGAGTTAGTGCATGCAATTGAGGGAGGGCGGGAGGTGCTCTTCAATCCAGGTAAGACACATCATTGTATTTATTTAGCGGAAGGTTGCAAAGAAATTTATATTTTTATTTTTTATTATAATGGATTTTCGCAAAGTAACGCCTGATTTTATCAAATTTTGATTATTGATCGTAATTTTTGTCTTTACAGGAAAATGATAGCTGTCTAGATAATCATCATCACATACTTGCCACTCACAAGATAGAGCCAGTGAAGATAAAAAAGTGTCAAGTCTAATGCATTCTGCCTCCATCTGTGAGATCCTACTGTACTCATCTCACCATCATTCAAGATTACAAGAACAACAGTGTCATCTATACTTGCAAGAACGTCCCTACCTCATGAATCCAATTCAGTACATCCCCATAACGTGTTTTGGGCGTTGAAATCACCAGCTATAAAGACTGGCTGTAGCAAATTTTGGATTAAATTATCTAATTTGAATTTATTGTAATTAATTGATGAATTAGGAGGGCAGTAAACACCAACTAAAGTAAATAATTTATCATTATGTTGTATTTGTACAGCTTTATTTTGTAATGAGTCATCAGAGAATGTATTGATAACACGAAATCCAATTTTGTTATGTAGAAGTATTGCTACTCCATTATGATCATTACCTGAATTTAATCGTATAATATTATAATTTATAACCTTTTACTCTAAAATTGTGCCTAGGTTTAAGCCAAGTTTCACATATAAGAGCAATATCTATAGTGTTCTCATATAAAAATTGTGTAAATTGAAAGCAATTTTTAATTAATTTCTGTGCATTCCATTGTAAAATGTTAAACTGATCCATAAAATATTAAATGCCAAATAATGAAATATCTATTTTTGTTTCATTGTATCTATGAGAACATCTTTAATAAGCTGAGAAAATATTATGGTGGTTTGTTCGTTTGATTTATTAAGAGTTAATATTTTAATGACTGTATTTAAAATTATATTAATAATGTCATCATTCTTTAGCAGTGACATAAGAGCATCTTTAGGGTTTTTTCGTTTAATTCGGGGAAATCATTTTTATTAAAAACGATCTACAAACGGGGTTTTATGTAATTTAGCCCGATTTTCTTTTATCTTTTGTTTCTTGACAGGACACTGTCCAGACATACTTAGATGATTTCCTTTGCAATGTATACATATCGCTTTGTCTGAAGAGACTTGACAATCTTTGTAACTGTGATTTTCAGTACAAATTGAGCATTTCATAGATATTTTACAGTACTTTGCTAAGTGGCCATACCTCAGACAGTTCTAGCACTGCTTCACTGGTGTAATATACTGATTTACCACGAACCGCCAACCATGAAGATCGACGTGGTCCGGCAAAACTTTAGAAGCGAATGTGATGGCCACGGTGCCCGTCGACTGCATCAAACTGCGTCCTGCATCATTCTTAAGTTTCCTCATTACCCTTTTAACACATATTATCTTCCTGTATGTCGTTAACATACCAAAAATTCTTGAATTAGAAAGGTTAGTGGGAACATTAGTTATGACTCCTGCTATTTCTGTCCCTACAGCTGGGATAGATGCCTTCATTTTGTATTCATTAACAAATGTAACGTTATTTAAAAATGCATTCGATAGAGAGGGCTTTACAAAATGAACGCCTATTTTGTATTTAGTGGTGACAGAGTTAGTGCATGCAATTGAGGGAGGGCGGGAGGTGCTCTTCAATCCAGGTAAGACACATCATTGTATTTATTTAGCGGAAGGTTGCAAAGAAATTTATATTTTTATTTTTTATTGTAATGGATTTTCGCAAAGTAACGCCTGATTTTATCAAATTTTGATTATTGATCGTAATTTTTGTCTTTACAGGAAAATGATAGCTGCCTAGATAATCATCATCACATACTTGCCACTCACAAGATAGAGCCAGTGAAGATAAAACAAGTGTCAAGTCTAATGCATTCTGCCTCCATCTGTGAGATCCTACTGTACTCATCTCACCATCATTCAAGATTACAAGAACAACAGTGTCATCTATACTTGCAAGAACGTCCCTACCTCATGAATCCAATTCAGTACATCCCCATAACGTGTTTTGGGCGTTGAAATCACCAGCTATAAAGACTGGCTGTAGCAAATTTTGGATTAAATTATCTAATTTGAATTTATTGTAATTAATTGATGAATTAGGAGGGCAGTAAACACCAACTAAAGTAAATAATTTATCATTATGTTGTATTTGTACAGCTTTATTTTGTAATGAGTCATCAGAGAATGTATTGATAACACGAAATCCAATTTTGTTATGTAGAAGTATTGCTACTCCATTATGATCATTACCTGAATTTAATCGTATAATATTATAATTTATAACCTTTTACTCTAAAATTGTGCCTAGGTTTAAGCCAAGTTTCACATATAAGAGCAATATCTATAGTGTTCTCATATAAAAATTGTGTAAATTGAAAGCAATTTTTAATTAATTTCTGTGCATTCCATTGTAAAATGTTAAACTGATCCATAAAATATTAAATGCCAAATAATGAAATATCTATTTTTGTTTCATTGTATCTATGAGAACATCTTTAATAAGCTGAGAAAATATTATGGTGGTTTGTTCGTTTGATTTATTAAGAGTTAATATTTTAATGACTGTATTTAAAATTATATTAATAATGTCATCATTCTTTAGCAGTGACATAAGAGCATCTTTAGGGTTTTTTCGTTTAATTCGGGGAAATCATTTTTATTAAAAACGATCTACAAACGGGGTTTTATGTAATTTAGCCCGATTTTCTTTTATCTTTTGTTTCTTGACAGGACACTGTCCAGACATACTTAGATGATTTCCTTTGCAATGTATACATATCGCTTTGTCTGAAGAGACTTGACAATCTTTGTAACTGTGATTTTCAGTACAAATTGAGCATTTCATAGATATTTTACAGTACTTTGCTAAGTGGCCATACCTCAAACAGTTCTAGCACTGCTTCACTGGTGTAATATACTGATTTACCACGAACCGCCAACCATGAATATCGACGTGGTCCGGCAAAACTTTAGAAGCGAATGTGATGGCCACGGTGCCCGTCGACTGCATCAAACTGCGTCCTGCATCATTCTTAAGTTTCCTCATTACCCTTTTAACACATATTATCTTCCTGTATGTCGTTAACATACCAAAAATTCTTGAATTAGAAAGGTTAGTGGGAACATTAGTTATGACTCCTGCTATTTCTGTCCCTACAGCTGGGATAGATGCCTTCATTTTGTATTCATTAACAAATGTAACGTTATTTAAAAATGCATTCGATAGAGAGGGCTTTACAAAATGAACGCCTATTTTGTATTTATTCATAGATTGCAAATATTTAATGCCTTTATTGAACCTCTTCATATGTGTACAGAGACATCATGTCCTGCGTGCCGATTGGCCTTCTTTCATCATTAGATTCTACAAAGACAACGAAATCAATGAGGACAGAGTCCTCAGGGTACCTCCTGTTGTAGTCAGATACATAGTACGGCTTATACTTGCGCTGCTCTTTCTCAGAATCTTCCTCAGTACTGGTCCCAGCTTCTTCCTTCGTCGTTTCTTCAAAGACTTCTTCTCCCAGCAACTTTTTTCTATGTTTCCCCATGATGAGGATACCCAGTAACAATAAAACAATAAAAATTTTGTGCATTTTAACTAAACAAAACAAAATTGAAATTTTAATTTAAAGAAAGGCGTCTATCACGTTCAAGGTTCCCGAGTTTTCTTGGTGTACAAGGAAATGAAAGCGCAGATCGTAGACAGAGAATGCTATCTGTCTATTGTCGCCTCTACACGTTGGCCAACACAGTGGCGAATGTAGTCGCGAATATATTGGCCGAGAGTTGGTGACGGCGTCCACACGTTGGAAGGTCGTTCAGTTTATTTCGGTTCGGGCCAATGTGCGGACGAATTTATTTTATTTTATACGACGGCTCCGTGGCGCAGTGGCTTGGCAATGAGTGGCTGTGCCAGGGGTCGCGGGTTTGAATCCCGCACGGAACAAGTATTTGTATATCCTACAAATAATTGTTTCGGGTCTGGATGTGTGTCCTTGTGCAATTTGTGTTTGTAAGTTGCCTCCGCGACACAGGAGAAAATCCAAGTGTGGGGGGTAACGTTTTTATAAAAGAATAGTGAATATTAATGGGGCTGTAAATAGATATACGATATACGATTAGCTTTATTTATTCTTTACATGCATCAGAAACTTGAATAAATACCGTTAATAAGAACTTAACTTATTTTAAAGTTAAAGGAGTTATAATCGATTAGTCTATGTTTTAAAATTGGATTTTGTTTTTAAAGTTTAGCAAAACATGTACTTGCTTTTCTATCAGACATTTGATGTATATAGAAAACACCTTATAATTTATTTGGTAATTTAATTATTTTTTGAGAAAGACAAAAACAGTAGCAATAAATATAATTAACACTGTCTTAATAATAGGTACTAATTATAACTTAGAACATAAATGAAAAACTCAGGAAAGTGGCTCAGGACCATGCTTTGCGGCATTCTTTGGAGGAGGATATTCAGTCGTGGACTTGTGAAGAGCTGTAATGATGATGATGACAAACGAGCACATAGTTCACCTGATGTTAAGTGGTTGCTGTGGCCCATAGACATCTACATCTATCCTCGATTACGAATCAAAATGCAGATACGTTGTCACCCGTGAGGACTATGATGAAATGCCTCGTTTCCCTTAAAAAGTGTCTCTGGTTCTCTACACTCACTATACGAAACACAGTCATCAAGCTACTATTTTACATTGATATTCTGTGAGAGCGTGGTCCTTCCCCGGTCGAACCGACCCATTCGTGCTACAACTATACTTCTAATATTTTTTATTTTATTTTAAAATTGTTCCGTAATAATCTGATTGTAAATAAATGTTAATTTTTTTATAAATAGCTTATCGATTAAAACAAATGTGTAAAAATAATTAAATCGCGCTAATTAAAGTAGTAGGAATGTTTAAAGTTGAAATTGGCACTAAAAGGATGGTAATTGGGTCATCCACCCTACAAAGCGTGAATATAAAATTTTAATCAGATGCGTGTAATTACTCTGGGAGCTTGTATCAAAATAAACTCGCGGCTAACGTGTGGACGCGGCGACCAAACTCTGCCAACAATCCTTTGATCTTTTGTAAAAACCGACACCACACGGATCTCGCGCCAACTTGCGGGCCATCGTTCCAATACATACCAATGAAGCCCAAACACCCCGTCTACACGTTGGCCAATGCTATTGGCCACTACATTCGCCACTGTGTTGGCCAACGTGTAGAGGCGCCGTATGGCGCAGATCATTTACGTAGACAGAGAAACCTATAGACAAATTGACGCCTTCTTTCACATTCGCACACTAAAAAGATATATAAGATATTATATTAATATATTATATTTATGATTTATTTAAGAATATATTTATGATATATATTCTATGCAAGACGTATAAAGATATATTTATACGTCTTGCATAGAAATGAGACAGAGCGGTGTGATTGTTTGTCCCTTTCTCCGTGCCGGTTTTTTTGTTTTTGACACATTGACATTGAAAACTTTGACAGTTCGTAGCGATCTAAGGAGTTTACAAGTTGGTTTTAGTGAGAAAAAAGTGTTTTGTGAGCCTAAGATTGGTGAATCTTGTTCACTTCAGTTCTTAGAACAACAATTTTTTTATATAAATATGTTTAAAAGTCATAAATATTATTGTATAACCTAAAACTACGTTATCGTCCTTTCTCACTCGAGGCCACGCTAATCATTAGTCTATAGGTTTCTCTGTCTACGATCATTTAGCTAAAAGTATAGTCACAGCTGATATTGACAGGATAATCGGTGTTGCAATACCACATACAGATTTATATTCAATTTTAAAGCAACAGTTAAATGACGAATGGAAAATGCAATGGAATGCTGTTTTAGAGGCAGGAAAAGGTCGTTGGTATGAATCAACTAATTCAGAATTAAGTATTCTTTGGTTTTCTCGCAACGAGAGATATCATAGCAGAAAATTTTATACAATAATGTGCAGACTTATATTTGGCCACTATCTACTAAACACTCATCTTTCCAGGACGAGAATAGTAGCATCTGCAACATGCACTTCTGTGATACAGAAGCAGATCAGACTACAGAACATATAATATTTAACTGACCAGCGTACGCCATAGAAAGATTGCTACTCATTGAAAAACTTATACTTACAAATTTATGAAAACTCAGAAAGCGTCCCGCGTGCCCTGCAAGATGTTCTTAGGAATACTAAGAATTTAGCATTTTGCAATTTTGTTCATAATACTATGATAATAATGAAATATAGTATTCCTGTTTTTGTAAATATTGGACTGATAAATCTTTATGGATTGAAAATTAAAGATTATAATATAAAGAAGACTTGGCTTTATTTTAAAATATGAAGAATTATAGAAAATAAGACTTGGCTTCGGCCTTCATGGATTTTGAAGAAATGGAAAGAAGAAAAATAAGACATGGTTCCGGCCTTTACACTAAAAAATTCTATATATTCAAATTAAAAAGACCAGGCTGTATGGCTTAGTTCCTTTGCCTGCTATTTCGAGCGAATAATAAAAACAACAACATCACAAAACAAATTCACAAACAATAAACAATGGGTGCGTTTGGCAGAAAAAAGCGCTAGCAAGCGCTTACAAGCGCTAAAATAGTTTTCGGCCAGGACACGATTGCTACTTCAGTAGCGCTGACACAATCCGCCAATTTGCTTATATAATTTGTTTGTTTTGAAGTAGAAATTATAAGTTGTTTTGTGCAATATTAGTTTTAAGACATGAATAGACATATACATGTTATTAAAAATTCATGATTGGTAAATTTTTAATATGAATACTTTATAAACATATGTTTAAATTAGGTTAGGTTCCCCGGTTAAAACTAATATCCTTACGATTTGACAGCGCTTACCGCTTACGATCGCCATTTTGCTTACAAGCGCTTGCCAGCGCTTGTAAGCGCTGAAATAGTTTTCGGCCAAGACACGATTGCTACTTCAGTAGCGCTGACAGAATCCGCCATTTTGCTTATTTATTTTGTTTGTTTTGAAGTAGAGTTTATAGCTGAGAACAAATTATCGGACGCGTCCGTCAGCCGCGGCTGACAGTCGCGGCTTAGCAGTGTGCACGGTAGCTGAGACGGCGTCCTCGGACGCCTCGCTTCGGTCATTCCAGAAAGGTTTTGTCAATCGAGAAACCTGACAAACAGTGACAGCGAGGACGAATTTATAAAGTTAGCGGCAGCTGCTTTATGTCGTCCTCCAAAAAATAGGGGACCCAAACACTCCTTGTCCATGATATTAATGTAAAACGACTCGAGTATGATGAATTTCATACATTGTATCCAGACTTACAAGATGATAAACGTTAAAAAATGTACTTATGAATGTACTAATATGTACTTATAAATATAGGCACTCGTGGCTATGAACACATTCAATTAATTTTTTTTCATTACACATCATGTCGCGAGCGCAGTTGGTTCGCTTGTGACACTCAAAATGGCCGCGGACGCGTCCCGTGCTCCGTTCACACTGTCCGCGGACGCACCAAACATCCAGCCGGCCAGATTCTGTTCGGACGTCCGAACGCTCAAGAGCGACGCAAGGTCATGTCCGCGTCTTACGGCCGAAGGGTATTAGTGTTCTGTGCGGCCGATAGTTTGCACAGTATAGTACTAAATGTACTGGCTAGATCTCAATAAGCCGCTGCTCCGATAATTTGTTCTCAGCTTTAAAGTTGTTTTGTGCAATATTAGTTTCAAGTAATATAATGACATGAATAAACATATAAGTACATGTTATTAAAAATTCATGATTGGTAAGTTTTTAATATGAATACTTTACAAACATATATTTAAATTAGGCTAGGTTCCCCGGTTAAAACTAACATCGTGTCCTGGAGGAAAATAGCTACTTACGATTTGACAGCGCTTAGCGCTTACGATCGCCATTTTGCTTACAAGCGCTTGCTAGCGTTTTTTTTTCTGCCCAACGCTTATTGCTTATACTTATATCCTAGTACAACACAGTGTACTGTCCAATGCAAATGACGTCATGAATCGACGCTGTACTGGTGATTCGTTCCAAAACATAAGACAGTATATGACGTCATACATTAGCGCCATATTGGAAAAGTGTTGGCGATTATTTTGTCATTTTGTGCTCCAAAATCATTATATCCTCCTAATGGAGATACCAGCAATTATTCAATAATTTTTGTATTTGAATAAATAAAAATAAATTCTGGCATGCTTCATTCAGCGCACACACAATTAAAAGTTGTTTTATTATGGCCGGATATCCGACACAATATGACGGCGGCACGCCAGTGTAATCAGTGTTGCCGTTTTAGCGACTTTCTCGCTAGATCTAGCGGATTTTAACAATGTTTAGCGGATAAAAAAATCGTTTTAGCGAGAAATAATTATTTAGCGACTTCTAGCGACATTTGGACTTTTGAGATGGCGACTTTTTTTATGAAGTAATTCATTTCAAATAAGTAATTTATCATATGTCAAATTTTGTAATCTACCGTTGGTTACCTGTCCACAACACAAGCCTAACCAGCACTCTATATATAATATAATTTCACGGGAATTCCCGAACATAAACTAACAATGCAATGTCGTTAATTCACTTTCTCTGTTTCGACCTGAGACCATGTTCTAAGGTTTCGACATACAAAAATGCACCAGGAGTAAACATATTCGAAGATTTATGTAATTTTGCAATAGTAATATTATCACTACCGCTCTCAAATGCAGAATTTGAAAGAGTATTTGGTGCAACGAATGTAGTTAAAAGCAAACTGTGAAACAAGCAATCAGAAATACGTTTAAATTCCATCCGTCTAATTAGAAATCATTTGAGGATTAAAAAAGAATTGCGCAACGTATGATATTCCCGAAGATCTTGTCAACCAAGTCGGTAAAGGTAAACCAAAGATGGGAACTGGAGACATTGGCGAAGCTTCAACTTCCGCTGAAGTTCTTTTTGAAGATCTGGATCCATACTTCGCTATTAATTTTGAAATTTAGGTACAAGAACGTACTGAGCTAATTGTTTTATTTTTAATAAAATGACTAATGTTTAAACGTGGTATAAAGAGATTTATTTTTTTACAATATTTTTTATTTTTTACATGAATAATTTTTGTTTTGGTTGTCATGTCATTAACCTACACTATATATAATTAATTTATATGAAATAGAGTCCGCTCTTTTTAAGGTTTTCTGAATTTATAGATTTAGATTTTCGGTATTCTTTGTATACCATTTGGCAAGATTTTTCAGTTAGACCAACGGTACCACGAAAATGTACCTAGGGAGTTCTAGCGGATTTTAAGAAAAAGAAAAATCCTGTTGCTGGCGGATTTTTTCCATTAGTCTAGGGACTTTAAAATTTGTAGAACGGCAACCCTAAGTGTAATGTAGTGTCAATTGAAGACGTCATTTGCATTGGACAGTACACTGTGTTGTCTTTCGGAACATACCCACAGTAATCTATGCTTAGGCTTATATCAATCAACATTTTGTGACACTACCAAATAGATACACAATTTTAGTTTATGAATGATCACAATTTGTTCTTAAATTGCGAATAAACTTTAAGAAACATGGAACTAAGTGATGATATGATAAAAAAATTTGAAGCTGCACTTAAAAGATCTAACACACGAAAACCACCTCAAATTTACACAGAGAATGTTGAAAAAGTTTCAGTAATGCCTTATTCCCAACGACATTATTCAGCTAATGATGTATTATTAAGTATTTCCAAGCAACTAACATCTTTGCAGAATGCCGACAGCATGAGAAAAGATTTGCATATAAACTATAAAATGGTTAAACACAAAAAGAATGCCCTAATACCTGTGAATATGTTGTCACTGGATGATAATGTAAGCATAATTTACATTTTAACAATTTTTTTTAGCAAACAATATGGGTTCATATAACTTATTTAGACACTTCTTGATTTTTGATTGATTTTTTGTAAAGCATTGCTCGTTTCATTGTTTGACCTGTGGGGTTTTCTTTAGTAATCTGCTGCATGAATATATGGTCGCCGAGTGGGTGGGGGAGGGGGGGGGAGGGGGAGGAACCTCCCCCTGAAAGGAAAAAGTGCCGGAAACCCCCCCCTTTTTTTTTATGAATTTTTAAAGTTTTGTTACATTTAAGGAAAATTCGCTTTCGTTTAATAAAAAAAGTGCGTCCGGCGCCGAAAAACTCACATTCGGGTCCCGGTGGGAATGTGGCAGTATTTAGGGTGGGAAAAACGGTGGGAATTAACACTATTTTGACTCTGCTTCTGCTCCAGCGCTGCGGGAAGTGCAGCCCTTTCGCCCCTTGCGTAACTAAGCACAGGCACCTAGCTCACCTGCGCAGCTTCGGCTGTTTGGTCGCCTTCGGCGACCAGCCTCAGCCGCTACGGCTCGTACGCTGCCTGCGCTTAGTTACAGCGGGCGAGGGCTGCATTCCCTACGCGCTTCCGGATTTTCATATACACTCTAGGGGTAAGAGCGGAGAGACCACGTGGAAGTTGGGATTGACAGATTCGGTTTTGTGATATATACCTTCTGGTACTAGGGTTTGATCAAAAGAAATGAGCAAATATAATATTATAAAAACATTTATTTATATACATGGTTAATTACTTTAATTAGTTCCATAAAAGGATCCTTTTTTTTTCTTTGCACTGACCTTCTCCACAAATATTCAATAATAATGTCTGAAAAGTTTTCCGGGTGGTTATAATTGTATTTACTGAAAAATCTTTTAACCACCCGCCATTGCGATTCGATTCTTTGAGTATGAGTGCCATCAGGGGCAACAAATGGGTTCTCAGGATCTGAATGGTTCACCTTCTTGTGAATGTACCCATGTTGCCCCAAACAATCATAAGCCCTCCAGAAGTCGGTATGGATTGTGGTGCCCTCAACCACATGTTTTTTAATTAGGGGCACTAGTATGTCCGCTGACCTGATGTTTTCAGGGCACACCTCTAGTCGTAAATCCTCACTTCCATCCTCAATGAGACCGAGGATCCAGTGGCCCTCAATCTGCCTTCCTAAAATCAACAATAAACAATTTAGAGTTAGTAAATATTCAAGATATTTATTTATTTATATACTCTATATTGTACAGTGTACACCAAAACCCAATAGTACAAAATTACAAAAAAAAAAACAAATACAAAAGTACAAAATTTTATAGCAGAATATGTACAACAGGCTGTCTTATCACTCTGAAACTGATTTCTTCCAGATATTTTGGCTTTAAAAGGTATTCAAATATATTTAATAAAAGGTATTAAAAGATAATTTGGGTTCAAAAGTAAACTTTAAAATAAATAATGTGTAATAATTTAAGACTAACATAGGTTAAGCTAATTTACTAACTTAAATATTATGGACTATATGTAGGTCTGAAATAAATTTAATTATCATTATATTATTATTATAAATATATTGTTTCAGTCTGTAATATAAGAAAATCAAATTACCTTTATTATATTTCCGTTTTCCAAATTTTGACTCGTCTATTTGGACTACTTTTCCTGGGCCACCAATCTTGCCGATGGCCTCTTGTTGCTCTATTTGGTAAATGACGACTGTCTCCCGGCAGTAATTGTACCAATCGCAGACAGTCGCCATAGATAAGCAGCCTCCCTCTATTTCTTTTTCTGGGTCTTCGTGGATTGCATCTTCATAGCTCCAGCGATGCGCATAACAATACATCAGATAGAATACCCGTGGCAATGACATTTTAATATTTTCAAACCAGGTGCCTTTGCCACGAGCTACCCTGGATCGGGCTCTGCAATTTCCTTTATTGCAAACAAAGGAGCCCACATTTTTATTTTGCCCATATACCACTTTCATTGGCACTCTATGGGTGCGGCACTCCTTAGTGGCAGGGATTAAGCCATTTTCGATGGCAAACTCCACACACTGTACTCTGGTACCGAGTTCTCGCACGATTCGGGGTAAATTAAAAAATTTAGCTCCTTCTTCCACATATAAACGCCTGCGCACAAAATCACCATAAAGCTCCGCGAAGGGTACTACATCCGTTGCGGCGGCGTCGCTTGCGTTCGACGGACCGGCCGAACTAGTTGACGGCGTAGAGTCGTCGGCCATCTTGGGTCTCTCAGGTAGACAGACAGGTAGGCAAAGTCCAAGAAAACGTGCAGGGGTCTTCGTAGGGCAAATCGGTGGTCCGGTATTCGAGCACGGGTCTTCGTCAAGGCAAATCACAGGTCCAAGAAACAAGCAGAGGTCGAAAATAGAGCAGGCGGTAAACGGAGGTCCGATAATCGAGCAAGGGTCAAGAATTAGGAGCAAAAAATGAGCGCAAAACATTCAAAGTCCGAAGGCGAAAGTGGAATGGATGGTGACTAAAAAACAATACGTGGTTTAACATCGTATGTTAGAGTAGGATAGCACTATAAATAGATTAATAGATCATACAAACTATACTATTGTTATCTCTTTCTAATAATTATATCCTTGTTGCTTATTTTTTTTTTAAAACAGAGTACAGACCATGCTCTATTGCTATCTCTTTGTAATAAATATATTCTTATTTCGTATTTGTATCATTTTTAAATGGATATAACCTCAAAACTATAATTGTCGATATCTCGAAAACTAAAGATTTCCGGCATAAAAAAACAGCTAGATGATAATTAATAGTGTCATTGCCTGTCAACTAAAGCTAAAATGATCAAATAATTATGTTGTTATTTCGTTTCGTATCATTTTTAAATGGACATAACCTCAAAACTAAAATTATCGATATCTCGAAAACTAAGGATTTCCGGCATAAAAAGCAGCTAGATGGTAATCAATAGCATCATTACCTATCAACTAAAGCTAAAATGATCACTTAAATCGTGCAGCAGATTACTAAAGCCGACCCGACCTGTGTATTAGTTGGTCATAAAACACAGACTGTAAGATTTTGTTACTATAAATTGAAATATTATTCCCAACATGTTAACACATTAATGGACAGTACTCACTTACCAATTGTACTTGAAAATGTACTACTTTTATCCATACATTGGCCATAGGCGTTGTGTCACAACACTGTGTCAAAAATGACTATTGTGACACAACGGATATAGATGTAAACATCTTACGATGTACTGGCACATGAAATGTGGATTTAAGTGCATGGTTTGCCAGAATGCCTGTCGACGATGGCGTCGAGAGGCCTTTTTATTTTTGTGTACCCACACATGTTCATCTTTCTTCAGTTTTTTATTTACTATGTCTTTATGATTATCTTTGCAATTTGTACGTAAAGTGCCAGTTGTATGAGTTTCCAATTCAAGTAATTTTTGTGACAAGCTCACAAACTTGTAGTTGTCCATAAATGGATGATGTCCACATAATATGTATTGCCGCATCAACTTTAATACAAGTTTTTGATCCAGTTTCAGGAGTTGAAGCTTGCTTTCCACTATACATTTTCATGTTAAGAACATAGCCCTCAGGTGTTGCTAGTTTGAAAAATTTGATGCCTTAGCGAGCCTTTTTTTATTTGACTGGCAAAAGTGCAAACACCCTCGAAATAAAAGAAGAGACTCGTCTAATGACACTCCTTTGCCAGGGTTATAGATATTTCTGAAGTTCAGTGTTAGCATATCAATTGTACGATCTTGTCATCCCCTTTAGCGTCCAAGGTTGCTGCATATAAACAGTGCAAAATTTGTTCATATCTTCTTCCTGACATCGTGTAGCTAAATACGGAATGATAATGTAGTGGATCTGATGACAAGAAGAGACTTCTTTGCTTAGGGCATTTTACATGACCTTTCAAAAGAGTGAGACCCAAAAAGAAATGATGAACTTCATTAATTCTTCACAATTAGTCTCATGATATACTGTTTTACGACTATGTCTAGTATGAGGTCTGTTAGTGTTACAGAGGCGGTTCTCATAACCTTTAGTACAGTTTACAAGATATTCTATGAAATTTTGTGGAAAAACGAGATGAAAAAAAATCGACATTATTTTTATCTTCAATATTCACAGTCAAATTACATTCAGATGTGGCAAAATCGAATTCAGTTATTTCAGTAACTGATGTAGACCATGACTCCTCTGTAATATTTGAAATAGATCGATTGATAAGATGCTCAAAGTTCTCTCGCTCTGGGATCGCTCTGGGACTTGGTTGCAAACCTAAATTCATATATTAGTTCATCATACATATTTTCTTGACATTCTACTGAATGACATGAAGTTCTGTCATTGTTTTCGACATAATTCTGAACATCATCAGTATTTTGATGATATTCTAAGGAAGAACATGTAGTTCTACCATCATCATCACCCGAAGAATCAAAAGACTTACCCAAGATTATAGCCGCTGTTTCTTGCACGCGCATGCTTACTTCCAACTGGGTCTTCAGATTTGAAGATTCACTTTCAGAAGCTTGGTAATCATTATCTGATCCATATTCTCCATCATCTGCAAACGGTTCTTCAGCAGAATCAGGAGTGGATGCAACATCAAATAATTCCTGTAACCATCTTTGATTTTCCTCAAAGGCATCCATCTGAAAAGTAAATCCATTTTATTTATACACAAAATAAAACCCAAACATGCTGTTCTTCTAAAAGTTAACTTAATCAACAAATATATTATTATTATAATACTAATAAAACAAAACAAAAATATAAAATTACATCTTACCTTCGAAAATTTGAAGTCAGGAAAGAGTGGGGCACCACTAACGCACACTACTCAACTGAATGTATGTAAATATGACGTCGAGGGGCGTACTGTCCTTGCACGGTGTAGTACAAAATCATTGTTGTGTGAGTGACCGGACTTTTTTCACATGTGTGTAAAACTTGACGATGTGATAGTACAAAATGCCGCTTCATACATTTTGAAGGAATATGGAACGTTGTAAGGCATACTGATATTATAAGAGCTAAAACTCGAACATCGACAGATGTTCTGTCATATCGCAAACTTTACTGCAACTTCTGTAGGCATTACTGTCCATCAACATGTTAATGTATTTTATAACTGTTTTGTTTTTGTATTAAAGTGTGTGTATTTAAGAATTATATTATAATCTTATTGTAAGTTTACTCTCCTGCACAGTGATTTTCCTTGCAAGAGAATCAAATACCCCTTATAATTTCTTTGATGTCATAAGTGGTGACATAAGGAAACTGAAACCCTAGATGGGAACATATGTGGTTGTGAACACCCTTACCTCACAATGTGGGAGGCTTATATTCAGTAGTTGACTTCGATAGGCTGTAATAATCATAATTTATAAATTTTTTCATAAAATTTGAATGAGGATAATACCAAACAGATGGAATGTACTGTTTAGTTTATGTCATAATTTTGTATTTGCAATACCTTTATGTAAAATACCAACATTAGCTAAATAGAACCATTATGAAGGTGTGAAATGGCTGGGACTGTAATCTCTTACCTCCGTCCTCTCTCAGGTGAAATTGGATATTCTACCTAATCTTTACAAATGTGAAATGGTCAATTTCCATCAACATACAACAACTATGACAATTAACCATGCTGTTTTTATTTTACAGTTTCCTCACCAAAGTTGCTTTACCAGTAATAAGTTTGAAACACAGTATGTATCTGATACTCAGCTTATTAATATTGTTGAAAATGCAGAGAAAATGGTAATACCTAAAGGAGTTACACAGGAATTTGAGAATTCATTTTGTGAACAGCTTGTAGAAAGGGAAGGGGCTAGTAAACACTTGGTTGATTCTTTATGTTATAATGATAGGTATGATAAAGAAGTTGAACCAGTTGAAGATTTAACTTTACCAACTCATTCTATAATACCAAGTACCAGTAAAGGCCATAATAATAATAAAGTCGAAAACTATTCAACAAATGTATTTGATGCTCAGAAAGATAAGAATGAGAATGAAGAAAGAGATATTGAAGCTCAGAATGTAAACAAAATAGAAGAGAGTGTCAAAATAAGTTCTGAAGAAATACAGGATTTTGAGAATTCATTTTGTGGACAGCATGTAGGAAAAGAAGAGAATAGTAAAATTTTTGCAAATTCGTTATGTCATGATAGGTATGATGAAGATATTCGTTCAATAATACCTAAGGAACTAAGTACTGGTAAAGACCATAGTATCAACGAAGGAAATGAAGCGCTAAACTATCCAAATATATTTGGTACTCAAGAAGAAACAAATATTGAAGTTCAGAATGTAGACAGAACACAAGAGATTGTGAAATCAAGTTCTGTAGTAGTACAGGATTTTGAAAATTCAGTTTGTGAACAAAACGTAGAAAGAGCAAAGAATAATAAAATCTTAGCAGACTCGTCATGTTATAATGATAGGAATGAAGAAGATATTGAGTTAGTTAAAGATTTAAATATACCAATTTATCCAATAATTTCAGATGTATCATGTACCAGTAAAGACTATTACAACAATGAAGAAAATCAAGCAATATACTATTCGACAAATTTATTCAATAATCAGAAAGAAACGAATATTGAAGTTCAGAATGTAAATGAAACACAAGAGAATATCAAAAATAGTGCTGGTCTTCACAGCAGTAATGCACCATTAATTTTCACACTGGACGCTTTTGAAAATTTTGCAGCATTGGCCTTTCCAGTCATTGAAAAGAATTCAAACCTCGAAGCAGCAAAATATGTCATTAATTCTCAGATTATTGACAGAGAGTTATTTTTAGGACGTAATATAAATAAATTCACCCTTCAAAAAGAAGATAGGGCAGTCAGTCCAGTTCTCAGTATTAAGAAGAATTCAACATCAACTTTAGCAAAAGTCAATAATGTGAAAAAAAAATTATTGAAAGATCCTGACAAAAGCATTGTATTAAAGCATAGTATATCATTATCAAATGAAAAAAAAGTTAAAAGTAATGAAGATGAGATATTATTCAGTAGTGATGAAGAAAAAGATCTTCAGAAGTTACCATTAACATGTGCTTTACAAACATCTTTTAACAACCAACCTGATATTTTGGATAAGACCATGTACGTTGGCTTTCAAACAGCTAGTAATAAGTCAATTCAAATAAACTCAAACTCATTTTCTAAGGCCAAAAATATTTTTGAAGATGTAGGTATTATTAATCACAAGTTTACTTTGACAGAAATAGTAACAACGTGTGATGTTTGTGATATCTATAATGTATCTCAGCTTAACAAAGGTCATAATAATAATGTTAAAAATGAAGCTAAAAGTGCATTGAAAGATATAACGAACATTGATGGTTATGAAGTTAATAATAAACCTAAATCATCAATTTCAGGCACAAGTACTATTACGAAAGCACCTAAATCGTCTCCTGATTTACAGACAAGCAACAAAAAATGTGAAATAAATTTTGAACATGTTCACCTGGAAAATGAAATGCAATTTGATATTGAGACCACTGATCCCATTCCTAAATATTCCAAAATTGAAACGGCATTAGGGAAAAACTTGATTAAAAACAGGGATTTGCTAGAATTTCATACAGCAAGTAATAAGAAAATTAATCTTACAGACAAGGCTTTAGCTAGATGTCGTCAAGTATTCGCAGATTTTGATTTGGATGAAAAATATGACCAAACGGAATCTGAAAATACTCGGTGTTGTACACAACTTAATATTCTACCTCCTTCTACAAATCAAGACATTGGTAATTTTAAAGAAAATGAGGTAAGAAAACAATCTGAATCAACAGAAATAGTTGATCAGAGTATTACAAAAGAATTTGAAAATGATTTACTATCTAATACAAAGCCAGAAAATGCTTCAAGCTCTATGGAATTTAAAAACAAAATTCTTTCCAGATGCTTATTAGAAACTGAAGAAAATAAAAATTATGTAGATACTGCTCTAAACAAGGAAACTTACACAAATGTTTCTGATACAGCTTTGCAACAAGGGGTGGATGAAAAAACTTGCTCACAAAATCACACTGAGAGTTCCACAAAAGTGACTTTTGTTGGTTTTAAAACTGCTAGTAATAAACTAATCAATATATCAGAAAAAGCTTTGACAAAAACCAAAAATATATTCGATGACTTAGACTTTCGAGAGGTAAAAAAAGTTAAAATATCATCAGAAGAATTGAAGAGAATTGCTGTTACAGATTTTAGCTGTGAGGTAGGTAAAACGTTATTCAAAGAATTCAAAACTGCAAGCAATAAGCCTATCAAAGTTTCTAATGAAGCTTTAATTAAAACCCGAAATATTTTTCAAGATATTGATATAAGTAGTGAAATTAACGAAAACAGTCATAATAATTCCGCAACTTATAAGTTATATAAGATTTGCAGTAATTTAACGAACGTCACAAAAAAAGAAACAAATTTTGAAAAAGAAAATTTTCAAAATGAACCTGATATTATTGGAGGCTTTAAGATAGCAAGCAATAAAAAGATGAATATTTCAAATGAAGATTTGACCAAAAGTAAAATGCTATTTCAAGATATGAAAAGGATTTATGACCACGATGGACAAAATTATGCCCTTCATAGTACGAATAACAAAAAACAAAAAATAGTTTTTAGTGCCACAGATAGTTATGATAAGAATATCAAATTTGAAAGTCTATTTTCCAACAACCAAAATTGCCAGAAATTACCGGACAAAACGCTTGAAGGTTTTAAGACTGCAAGTAATAAACAGGTATCAATCTCAGATGCAGCTTTGGCTAAAAGTATGAAGCTGTTTCAAGACATAGAAATAAATGATAAATACAATGAACACAAAGTTATTTCTGAATTGGAAACTGTCCACAACAAGCACGATTTTAATGAAAATAGTCAATTTACTAAAAATATTCAAATGTCTGATCAAACTTTCAAGGGTTTCAAAACAGCAAGTAACAAACAGGTCAACATTTCAAACGAAGCTTTGGCTAAAAGTAAGAAATTGTTTCAAGACATAGAAATAAATGATAAATACAATGAACACAAAGTTATTTCTGAATTGGAAACTGTCCACAACAAGCACGATTTTAATGAAAATAGTCAATTTACTAAAAATATTCAAAAGTCTGACCAAATGTTTAAGGGTTTCCGGACAGCAAGTAACAAACAGGTCAACATTTCAAATGAAGCTTTGGCTAAGTGCAAGAAATTATTTCAAGATTTGGACCTAAATCATCAGCAAAATGTACCAAACGAGCTTACCACCCTTACTTCATATGACAAACCTATAAATGATGGCATTGAATTTAGGACTGCAAACATCAATAATATCAATATTTCCCTAGAATCTGTAACGAAACCTAAAAAAAGTAAAATGGACTTTAAACAAAATAATGAATTTTTAAATGTTGAAAAAAATAATATAAACGAAACATCTTTGAACACTAAGGAAAATATTAATTTAGATCTTATAATTGACACGCAAGTATTAAATAATTTTGAGGAAACATTGAACACTGAAGATTTTTCTAAAGAAACAAAACACAATAAATCTAAGCGCTCTGGTAGCCCTATCCTTTTATGTCCTCGTGCTAAGAAGCGCGGTAGGTTTGCAATTCCTTTTAAAACTGAGCATAAAATAACAGAGAAAGTAACTATTAACGTTACCTCAGAGTCAAGTACAAACATATTATTTGTTTTTAATGAAAGTTATAAGAAAACCAAGAAATATACTCTGAAAACTTTAAGATCTACAGAGACTCTAAATAGCGGCCAAAATGAAATTGATCAGTATATCTTAAACTTTAATTTCGATAATGTTGTAGACTTTACATTTTCCGATAAAAGAAATGAATTGACTGACGATAGATGGAGCATAGAGGATTTGAAAAAAATTTTCTTATCTTTAGTCAACAGGAAGATAATTCCAGATGGTTGGTTGGACAATCACTTGAAGCTGATTATTTTGAAATTGATTTCTTATGAAATTGAGTTTCGAAATACTATGCAAGGAATCTGCTCAGTAAACAATGTTTTACAACAACTAAAATACCGTTACGATAGGGAATTATACAACATAGAAAGACCTGCTCTCAGGAAATTACTTGAAAGGGACGATGTATCAACACGAACTATGATTCTACGTGTTTTAGCAGTATACGTAGATGGCGTTGCTGTGACCAGGTCTGTAATTGCTTTCTACTTCTTTCTTTTAAAGAACCGTTAATTGTTAATAGTTCAGTGTTACCGCTTATCAACAGTTCAGTACAGTTCTTGTAACAGTACAGTGTTATGAAACCAATCATTTATGTTAGGACCGTGTAGTGGCGGTGTAATAATATCCACTACCGCATAGTGTCCCCGAGGTTTTGTAAGAGACGACTGAGACAAACAAACCAGGATATAGACTTCTTCCGTATATCAATCAGAAAATAAAAAATTGCCGTTGCTAATGCACCTGCCAAGCTTAGAAACGATTGCATATATCCAATCTAACTCTATGGTCGGCAGTGGACTTTAATAGGCTGTTATGAAGTTTAATGAAACAGTAACAAACTTTTTTATACTTATTGAAAGTTACTCTTTTGTTTAATTTACCAATGGTTCGGAAAAAACCTCCGTCCTGGGGAGAACCAGCAAGAAACCCAGTGGGACATTTTAAAAATAAATAACAGCTTACAATCATATTTGTTATGCAATTAACAACTCAAAAGATTAGAAATATCATCCATAAATTTCTTAATATTATAATAAACCTTTTTTTTGCAAACTTAGTTACTTTTAATTATCATAATATTAAGGAATTTATAGACAATACTAACCCCTGTGAATGTGGTGATCGCTACCAAGCTATTTACTTACAATTTTGTGTTGTAAATTATTGTGTAAATTTAGTGATTGTGAACTGTCTTTAAAAAAAAATGTCCCGCAAGGGTTTCTTACTTGTTCCTCATACAGAGGTATTTCTTTCTTTATTATTCACAATCTATATTTAATTTTAAAAAAATATGTGTAATGCCTTACTGGAACACAAGAGCGCATTCACTGATCCTTAACTGATATAGGAGTAAGGATGATACCTTCCTTGATGGAATCCTAGAGGGAGAAGAAGCCTTACCACCTAGAAAATAAGGAATAAATTTTATTTAGATGTTCTTACTTTACAGTATGACCAACGGAAATAACATAGAATTGCTATTAACGGATGGTTGGTACTGCATCGAAGCGTGTTTAGATCAGATGTTAGTGAAACTTGTACGTGATCATAAAATACGTGTTGGAACTAAGTTGGCAACTCATGGCGCCGAATTATTGAATTGCGAACAAGGAATAGCACCTTGGGAGGTAAAGTAAATTTTAAACTTTCTTTTCATTTTTGTCCTCACCAGCCTCTTATCAGTTATTTCTGGACGCAAGTATTTCAGAATAGTTTGATCATATTACATTTTTCTTATAGGTTTTTATATGTAAAAATTGTGAATTTTTTATGTGTAGAATTAATAATAATAATATTTTTTTATGTGTGGAATTGTGAAGGTTGTTGCAAAACAACTGCGGTATTGTGCCGAGTCTAATATATCTACAGCATTCACATATTCTGATTCTGTTAAATAAAGACAAACCTATTCAAACTCAAAGTTATAAAGAGTATAGTTGATTGCAAATACGTAGGTTTTCTTTTTATAGGATAGGGTGACAAGCAAGCTCACACTCCACCTGATGGTTGCTGTGACCTATAGACATCTACAGCTATCCTCGATTTAAATCAAAATGCAGATGCGTTCTCACCCGTGAAAACTAAGATGGAATGCCTCATTTACAGTAAAAAGGTTCTCTACACTCACCATACGAAACACAGCAGCATTAAGCTACCATTTTACGCTGGTATTCTGCGAGAGCGTGGTCTTTCCCCGGTCGAGCCGACCAATTCTTGCTACAGCTATACTACTAATATAACTACAGCTTGGCTCTACCACTTATAAAACTATTTACGGAAATTGTAAAACGAATAAATTCCCTTTTAAACTTTCCCGTTTAATTTCTCACCATAAGGCCTCATGAAAAGACGTGATAGAACAAAGATCAAACAAACATTGGCAGAACTATTACGACCACAATATCGCAGGAAAAAATAAAAAAAGTTTGACATTTTAATCCAAGAATAAAAGGTTATTTCTTTCACAACAGTAACCATCGAATAAATGACGGTTGAAAAATAAAAAAAGTTTTATAACAGAACTTATAAAACAATATGTAGTGCCGAAAAGTAAGATAACATAAAGCTATGACCTAAGTGAGCAAAAAATTTAGCAGAAAACAATTAGTTTCTGCTTAGTTGAAAATAGCTCAGAAGCACCTTGTATATCTACAGATTGATACAAGATGTTGGGTAAAACTTGGGGTTCAGTTAGATGAAGTTACATCAGTATTGTAATTATGTAAAGTAAGTGAAGACGGTAGAGATGCTCGGAAGATATTTTTCTCAGGCCAGCAGTTTTCTTATGATATTTTATGGTTGCAAAAGTTTTATTATCATCATCATAACAGCCCATCAAAATTTACTGCCGAATATAGGTCTCCTCCATAAATAACTTCAAATGAGGGGGAGACATTTACCATAGTTGCAACTGAGATTGAAGCAACTGTAGTCTACTGGCAGGGCGCAGACCGTGCACTCAAAGGTCGTGGATGCGAATCTGCCATTCGACTACTATCGAGAACCACTCCTAACAAAAGCATTTTAAATTTTTAAGTAGACTTGCAACGAATAGTATATTCGGCCACATGCCTAATATCGCATATGTTGCGTACTTGTTGGACGAATATTAGGCAAAAATATTCGACTGGGAAGAAACCATTGTTGTTTGTGAGTGTCTACAAGAAAATTAGTAAACCGCTGCCTGAAAATGCAGAAAAATGAGTCTTTCTGTGCCATAATCTTCCATTTTATTTAGGATATCTATCTGATACTGTGTAGAAAAAATAGGGTGTAACAGGTGAACGAAATAGAAGCCTATGGCACTGATATTTTACAATTTTATTTTGATGACCAGTTTCATAATATGTTAATATCCAGTATATTATATATATATATATATATATATATATATATATATATATAAATATATATATATATATATTTACAATGTTAGCGATAGGTTTTGTTAAACAACAAATTTTATCTAATCAAGGATACGTCATCAGTACGTTTAAAAATGTTTGGCAATTCTACACGACGTGCTCGTTGGGACGCACGTCTTGGTTATCACGGTGCGGGCGCCATCTTGGCCCCACTGTCATGTGTCGAGCTGGAAGGCGGGAAAGTGTCTAAGTTGCGCGCACTAGTGACACGAGTGTATCCTACGCTTTATGTGGAAAAATTTGAAGATGGAAGTACAGGTAAAAATACTTATATGAGAGTTTCTTTTATTTTTATAGTTTTAAGTTGTGTTTTAATTGAGATTATAAGAAAATTAATGTTATGAGTCAATTTCAAAAAAATTGTACGTAACAGAAAATAAACACAATAGAATTTGTTACACAAAAGAAGATATGTTACACAAAATCATTTATAAAGCAGTATTCATATGGGATACTTAGAAAATAAAAACACCATTATTCATTTTTAAACAGTTTCGGATTTTCTACGGGAGAGAGTTGTGGGAGGGAAGCACCACGCCACTCAACGTAGCCCGGTCGACGGAGCTCCGCTTGGCTCCGCGGGGCTCCTACTTCTGAGTGGTTTATGAAAAATAACCACGAAGGAGATGGCGGGATCTATTCACTCGCTTCCCTCGCTCACACACCCTGGCATCTCCTTCTAATCTAACCTGTCCAAGTCGGGATGCCCTAAGCCCAGAGCTCGCTTCGCTAAAAAATTAATAAATAAACATTAATATGTGATATTTTTATCATTATTTCTAAATGTGCGTTTTTTGTGTAGTTTAACAAAAAAAAATATATAAACTTCGTTTAACCCCTCAATCCCAACAAAAATCCCATGCAGTCGCGTGCGCCAGGCAAATCCCGAGCCACCCGCAGCACTTAAAACCATTAAAACTTATATTTAGAGACTACTTTCTATGAAGAAGTTTAGCATTATAAAATCTATACAAAATTCTCTATATAAAAGTAAGGTTTTACTTCATTACAAAAAGACTATTGTATTTTGATAACAAAAAAAAACATACCAAGCGAATGTCGGCTGCGTGAAAATCACAATTATTTCAATACATATTACTTGAAATTATTTATGTAAAAAGATAAATTATATTCACAAAAATACTTTCTTTACAATTTTATAATAAAACACTATACTATAACACTATAAAAATCCAAAAATCAACACAATAACATTCACGCGAAGATAGCGTACGAAATGAACGTAGATTATAAATAAACATTCATAGGATAACTTGACTTTTTATTGCACCAGAGGATAGGAAATTTCATGTTGATTCTATAATGCCAAACTTATTCACAGAAAATTAGTCTCTAAATATAAGTTTTAATGGTTTAAAGTGCTGCGGGTGTGCCCGGTCGAATCTGACCGCTTAGATTTTGACGGAATAGCGCCGCGGTCAGATTCGACCGCTTGGAGACTGAAGAATTAATGCTTTGAAAAAAAGTTATGAACGATGATATTCGAAGAAGTGCGTTTATGATCACATTTTAAGTCATAAAACTATATGAAATCTTCAAGTGAGACATTTTCCATATGTTTTTTCATAAATCCGCCATAAAAACGAATATTTTATGAAAAATTTATTGAAATTGGATGATTTTTAGATTTTCTAGAGCCAAAAACCGAGGGGACTGCGAAAGTTTATAATTACTATAAGAAGGTAACTAAACGAACGAAAGAAGGCAAAAACGAAGACAAAAACATAATCCTTTAAAGCAAAATCAGAAAGAAAAACTTGCACTACGTTTGTATAAAGAGGTCGTGCTTACCCCTTCGCCAGTTTATGTTATATAACGTAAATTGCAAAACTTAAAATCTAAGAGCAACAGAAATTATTAACATATGTCGATGTCGTCTTACGAATTCATTAACTTTTTTTAAGGTATCCCGCTGAAACTAATAAATTGAGCCTAATAAGTTTTTTAAACCCTGTATTTTTTACTTATTCAATAACCTATGCGGGCGTGCGCACAACAACTCACCTTTTACCAACAACCAACATTTTGACGTAACCGGATTAATGACATAGAACCGCATACCGGAACAAACATACAAACATAATTTTTATATACATAAAAACAATGGTAGGTTTATTTTTTGTGTAACGTAACATAATGTCCCCCAAAAGTAATAAAAATACTTTTGACAAAAGTAACAAAAAATTCTACGAAAAAAAGTATAACGAATTTTACAAATCGAACTGTAGAAAATGTTAGTTGGTTAAATTATTTATTACAGTAAAGAATATAATAATGCAAAACAATAAACTTAGCAGAATTATTTGCGTCACTTGGTGGGGAATTTTTTACTGACGAAATTCGTGTGAGACGCTCACAGTGTGACTGACACTAAAATAAGATGTTTGCCACATTTTCTTGTAAAATTTGTAGTAGATCAAATGTTGCCAGACTTAAGAAAGTTACTAGAGCGTTCCAAATATCTATATTAAGGCCATAGCACCGTCACACAAGCGTCGTTACACATTTTGAAGTTAAATTTAATAATGTAATCACTTTTAAATAAAATTTAAAATTCTTGTATTGTACAACCGTAACCCTGCCTAAATATATTTGATGAAGTTTTTTTCGTTAGCTCTGCAAATAATAGAGTTATGTCACTATGATCCACTGATTCGACGAGGTGGACATCACATTGTAGTATGGGGAAAAAATTACCCTCATAAACATTTTTTTTGTGTATCCATGAACTAATTAGAGTGGATAAAAAAATTATTTATAATAAGTAGACAACTTAAGATTGATACAAAAATATTAATTCACGCAAAGAATTTTTATAGCCGTTTAAAGACCGAGGACAGTTTTTTTACAAATGTACAATTTTTTTGAAATTGACTCTTATGGTATAATAGATATAATAAGAAAACGACTGTTTTAGTAAAATAGTTGGGTATCTGATGAATAGATCAGAATCATTTTTATTTAATACTAGCGATCTGCCTCGGCTTCGCACGGGTGATATCTGGATTTTACAAGAGCGCCACCTATCAGGTCCAACTATGTCTATAGCTCCCACGGAAGTGCAAGCAATACGTTGACAAAGTTTTACCGCAATCTGATGAAAGGTCTGGCAGCGCATAAAATACGAACAAACAATATTAAGTTTATTATTTTAATATATATTATAAGAACACTTATTGAAGAAGTAATCGAAGCTTAGCCACTAGTTCGTAAAAAACCTCTGTCCTATGAGGAATACTGATGCAACGGAAGTGTCATAATGGAAGCGAAACAGAAACAGAAGCCAAAAGTACATTTTAGCCAAAACAAAAAACGGAAACGGATGCAGAAGCGGAAGTAGTGTTTAATGCAAAAAGTACGATTTGTGACAAATATTTTTTTATTTAAGTTGCAGTAAGTTATATAGATTTTTAGATCATATATATATAATCGGAATCTCGGAAACGGCTCCAACGATTTTCATAAAATTTTGTGTGCAGGGAGTTTCGGGTGCAATAAATCGATCTAGCTAGGATTTATTTTTAGAAAATGTCTTTTTGTCCGTGTTTTTGGTCAATGAAAATCTGCTACAATATCGTTAGAATAAGAAGGTAAATTTTGATAGTTTATAATGATTACAAGTAGCCTTAATTGGTATATTGGGCGGTCACAAAATCGTAATACCATGGTTCGAGCCCAGACTGACCGACCGACTTTTTTTAATTTTTTTTTTCAAGTTCCTTTCTTTTTTGAGAAAATCTATTTTTTTCGAGCCCTTTTTTATTATTTTTTTAAAAACACGAAAATTTTAATTAAACTAATTGCACTCATGATTTTTTTATTCAAATAACCAGTTCAGTTTTTTCTATTATGTCGCTAAGATCAAAAAATATTATTCGTATTTCATCAGTATGTAATTTGTATCTAAATATAATTTCCAAAACACACGAATTAAAAACACCGAGCGAAAAATACCGAGCAAAGCTCGGTCAACCGGGTATACTATATATATATGTATGTATCGCTGTTCTGCATGTATAAGAATTGCTTCGCTAAATAATTCCTCACTGGTGACGCTGCTTGAAGGAACAGTTAAACAACAGATTACGATATTTGTGTGCATTTCATTTCCACCTCATACTACTGAAGGTGGATTACGTCTATAAAAGAGATTGTCACTCTTGTTACTGGTGCAACATGGATTGTAACATTTGTAATGATGAATTCATCATTGATGATGATGTAGGTTGGACTTCATTTTCAATTTGAGGTCGGCACCTTTGAGAAGTTGTGGAAACAGAGGTAGAAATGGATGTCAAAAAGCGTGCAGAACTTCCGCAGTTGCGGATGCAGATCCAGAGGTCTGTTCCATCATTAATACTAACTGTTATTCAACAATTTGGCTGGATGCAGGTGGGCCAGTACCGTGTTTTGTGGCTATCTATGATGGAGGCTTATGTTCAGCAGAGGTCTTCTGATGGACTCTAATATTATTTTTTTTAAAGACTGAGACTCACTTTTGTCCCTTATTTTTTTTAAAGTGACTCGTTCTGAACGCCTGGAACAACTCCATCAAATGAAATATGAGTCAGAAAGACAAGCACTGCTGGAGAAGATTTACGAGGAAGTGGGGAAAGAGTTTGCAGATGAGGTACATGCAATCTATTTTAAATTTCGAATAGGTAGATGTATTGCCTATCCTCTGTTTTGGTTTTAACTCTTTGTTACTCCACGTAAAGTTAAACAAAGTTTATTGCTTCTATATTAAACTCTATTTAGATGCGTTGTAGTCCTTTAGGAATGCACGGGAATGCCCAAGAGTGGATCTTAATGTATAGATCTTAATTGCTGTATATTTAGGATTTTACGTTAATGGTACTGATGCTCCGACATTCGTAAATAGCCAAAGTTTAAACCGGGTATGTGACTACATTAAGTACCCATTTTTATAGAATAAGGGTGACAAACGAACACACAGTTCACATGATGGCAGTGGATGCCGTGGCTCATGGACATCTACATTCCTATCCTCGATTACAGAATCGAAATGCAGAAGCCTTCTCAGATTTATACGAAATGCTTCGGTTCCAGTAATAGAAGTTTTCGGTTATCTACACTCATCATACGTAACGCATCAGCATTAAGCTGTCATTTAACGCTGGTATTCTGTAAGAGAGTGGTCCTCCTCCGGTCAAGGCCACCCATTCGTGCTGCAACTATAATATAGCAGCATAACGCTACTGCTACGCTTCACGTTATACGCTACGTATCAAACTGAAAAAAAAAAACTGATTGCGATAAATGATGATGTAGAAGCATTAATAATTCCGTTGTCACAGGAATCTCAGGATTCTGAATGCGATACCGAAGTCAGGACAAGTCTTAACAGCGGCTCGCAAATTAACAGATTTATGAAACAATGCAAAGATCCCGGAGAGTTTAGGGTATGTTCCATTTTGTTTTTTGAAAATAAAAGAAAACAGTAAAGCAACAGCTCACATAACCGTGTAGTGGTGGTGAAGCGACAGAGGGAAACTGACACAAGGCTTGGACAGTAGCATCTTCGTGAAAACAGCTCTAAATTATAAAAAAAAAACTGCGGCTGCCAATCCTGCTGGTAAGCGTGACAAATATGGCAAAATTCCACATATGAGGCAAACTTTGGAGGAGACCTATGGCCAGCTGTGGACATTTATATGCTTCAATGAATGGATGGAACAGCTTGCATACGTTTCACGACCTGGCACAGATTGGCACTTCCTCTTCACATTTCTGAGAGAGTTTAGCAGCAAGGTAGAGTCTCTGTACAGAGCCTGCATGACGAAATGGCAGCCCATATTCTAATTGACTGTCCAACGACAGAGCTAACTATCTGCTATACTGCTCGTATAACCAAGTTCACTCCCTGATGTCATTAGTAATATTAAAAACTTAGCGAAGCCTAATAATAGTCAAAAAGTTAAAGTTACAACCTATATACGTCCCACTGCTGGGCACAGGCCTCCCCTCATTTCTGAGAGAGTTTTAGGGCAAGGAAGTGTCCGCCGCGCTGCCCGAATGCGTGTTGGCGAACTTCACATGATTTCGAAATATATTTTTTTTTTCTTATTTCTCAGACATGCAGGTTTCCTCACGATGTTTTCCTTCACTGCTGAGCATGTGATAAATCAGCACTTAAAATTGCAATTAACAATTTAATTGGTGCCGGCGGTGATCGAACCCGGTTTACAGCGAGCGCTAATCATCTGGGCTACCACGGCGAAGCCTAATAGTATATATGTAATAATAAATGGTGACTGTGTGACCTGGGTCACACATTCATCAGTCTCATTATTATCATCTCATACTTTTAGGACACACGTGTGTAGTGATTGTCTTTGACGAAAGTTTTCTGAAGAAAAAAAAATTCAATATAAGCCTTTACAAAGCTTTAATTGAAAGTCAAAAAAGCTACACCCTCGCTTCAATAAGACCCTACCTTGTAGGAAAAAACGGCTATTTTTCTTCCAATTGCTATAATTTACCTTATATAAAACACTGGATGAACTTTTTTACCGTCTTGAAAAAAAATAGGGTGTAACATTTGAATGGAGTAGAAGCCTATGGCACTTATATTTTACAAAAAATGAAAACAAACATTTAGAAATATGTAAATTAATTAAAATCTATCAAAATTCAAATCATATCCACCCTACTTTACGAACGGCAATAAAACAATAAGTTTATTAGGCATCTTTGACCTTTTCACTTTGCAGGGTCACCGGCTCAAGGGCAAATGGCAAAGTTAAAAAAAATTCTTACTTTCATTCAAACAATTTTGTTTTAATTGTTTGTAAAATATCAGTGCCATAGGCTTCTACTCCGTTCATATGTTACACCCTATTTTTTTTTCAGACTGTAAAAAGGTCATGCAGTATATACATATATAAAAAAGGTCTAAGGAATTACAGTTGGCAGCTTGTCGTATTATGGACCATGATATCATCCTAATTCCTTATTTACAGGCTCACCTGACAAGCTCCCAGTGTGCTCTGCTGCAAGATTACACGAATAAACGTAGAGAGAAATTGCTCCAATCCGTACAGACCAAAGTTGAAGAAAGGTTAAAAGCAAAAGGTTTACACGTAGGCAGGAATGTGGTACCAGTTCTGAAGATTAGAATCGCCGACGTTGGTAGAAATGGTGAAATTTCTAAAGGTATAGTTTATTCTAGACGTTTTTAAGATTTCACTTTTTAGTGAGAGGGGTTTATAAAATAATTAAGAAGGTAGTTGACATTCATGTCTGATAAACTTTTATGAGCTGCTAAAACGAAATTTATCCAAGGACAGGAATACCAGTAAAGTAGAGTAGTTTTATGTGGTCAATAAACATTTGATTTGTCTTTTTTTAAATAATGAAAAGATATTTAAATATAATTGGAAAACTAATCAAGTTTTGGCAATTTACTAATACTAAAAGTAGCAAAAATCACAATAATAGTTTATTAATAATTAACATTTTTATTTATTCCATTCATTAAGTCCAGAGCATTAAGTCTGCCCTTTGCAACCCGTAGTGAAGGTGTGTTGCAATAAATGATAAATACATAAATAAAATATTTTTTTACTGTCCACTTAAACCATTTAAAATCTACAAATTTCTACATGGGCCTACAAATAAGTAGAAAGTCTAAATCATTATATTATGGCTAGACTTAGATATATGTCAAAATGGTCAGTTCATTGCTAAGCTCTGTCAAATTTAGCTTGATAATTTTGACAGCTTCTGTAGGGATGGGGTGGTGTATATATAGTTCTCATAGAACTTTCAATCGATGGTTGCGTGTTTATGCTGCATGGATTTGGAATTTTGAACAATTTCTTATCTATTAAATTAATAATAAATTATTAATGATATAATAAAATCCCTCCCACAATAACGATTTCTCCTCGTGCATATTTTTATTTGGTCAGTCGGACTATAACGTGCAATTTGAAATAATTTTTGTTAAAGAGTTTAGTGTGAAAGAAAGACAAGATATTGTAGCTTAAAGTTTATAAAATAATAGTGCAAAACCTTAATCAAGTACATTATTATCATCATCATAATCACTAGGCGTCTCTTACGTTCACAAACTCTGTCAAAGTGGACATTTCGCTCGAAGTATTGTAGTATATATTTTTTTGTATGTTCCACGACTTTTCTCCAGACATCCGCAATGACGTTATCACTGGCATTTGCAATAAAGTCAGTATTTTCAGCCGTAAATGGTGGAGATGTGTTATGTTTGGCTGCATGACCTAAAAATAATTAAGTATCTATATATGTATCAAACTTAGGTACTAGGTATAATAACAAAAACAAACCTTTGACATGAGCTCAATTCCGTTCGATGGTAATGATATGGTGGCAATCTGAGCACCGTATGGCCATGTTCAGCGATTTTATCCAAAATGTAATAGATAAGCTAAAAAGCGGGTTAAAGTTTCGACATACCGCATTTTGATGTGTATCAGCTAATTATATCGGTGTTTGAAAAAAATCGTGCTGGACTTACCTAAGGTTGATTGACATCATTGTAATAGGACGTATTCAGAGCAGCTCACTTGTGGTATTTTAAGAAATACATCCAGTATATTTAATTTTATAAATGAAACAATGATTTTAAGTGAATCAAAATACTTTATTTATTTAAATAAATTCTAAAACCTCGTCCATTACATAATTTTGCGAATTATTTATTATTTCGTCTTATCTCTCTCTCTCTCTCTCTCTCTCTCTCTCTTCAGTTAGGTCAACATTGTTTTGTAATTTTTTATATAAATGAATTTCGGATATCTGATCCTATTGAAGTCCAAAATGGCATTACTACAGATACAAGTAAACATGTAAATCACGTGTTAAATGTATAAGTGCATTTCAAGTGTAAGGTCAACACCAGATAGAAAGCAGAAGAAAAATTAACGTTTTCAATGAAATTTTATTTAGGTATAGCTATATGTAAGTAAGAAAACCACAAGAAGCAGATTTCTGATTAATAATTAATAAGATGGGTTAAGCAATTATTATTCACACCCTGTTTTTAAACCTTTAACCTACTTTTTTACTGCATAATTCCGCCGTCACGGTAAAATAAAGGTTATTTTATATTATTTATAAAATGTTAAATTATCATTACTCAATAAAACGATAGAATCAATTTTCAAGCTGAGTACGACCCTGTAGTACAAAGTCGGTTACAATACAATTAAACTTATCTAGGTACTGTGTTGGTGTTTCATTTACGTTTTTGCTTTTTCCGCGGCCCGTTTCTGTCTAGATATTGACACAGTCTTTTTCCTTGCCTTATCTGGTTCCACCACATTTAGACCAAAACTGTTTTCACACATTTTGTTCAAAATAATTAAATAAAAACTACGAGGGCAAAGTGTTTTGCTTCCGATAACTCATGCGAATAGCAGCCATCTTTGCGCTATACTTTGATTGGCTGGTCCAGACATGCTTGATATTGATAAACACTTGTCAAAGGACTTACCGGAATATGAAAAAAGTCGTCGGTTTTGATAATTATTTTCGTAGAGTTCTCTCTCTTACCTCTTTTTGGTAAAAACGAACCTATTAAGATTTTAATTTTAAATTTGGCGCCATTAATAGTTTAATTTTGAGTAGTGGTGTGACTTACCGGATTTCGATATTTAACTACACAAATTAAAACAGATAGCTTTTATTTTATTTGTTAATGAAGGTAGAAAATTTGAATTTTGAAAATCTTCCTTAAAAATAGCAAGTACTTCATTCACAGCCCCTTCATCTCCTGTTTGATTGACATTTTCAGACTTAAATAAGGTTAACATTGTAGTACTTGGATCAAACTTTGTGTACCCGCCGCGGTCTTGTAAGACACTTCTCACTCTCATGATACGGTCTGCAGTTTTCATGAGCATTCTGTTTCGCAATTCATTTTTTTGTTACTATGTTTATAATCGAAAACGCCCGTTCTACAGCAGCCTTAGCAAATACCAAACATCATAGCATTAAAAAATAGCCGTGGCAAGTTTCGTTAAATTAAAAACAGCTGCGTCTCCACAAACATTTTTGTATGACAACACTTCTCCCCAAAACTCGTCAGCTGTTTTGGTTTTTTGCCAGAGCTGAAGATGTAGAATTCTCCATTCTTGCAGCGTCGCATCAACGTTTTCCAATCTTCCAACTTCATCCTTGAAAGGAATACAACTATTTCTTCAATATTAAGTCTTGTCGCGATTTGCGACGAGAAAGTTGAATTTTTTTTCTAATGATTTGATATTGTTCGGTATTTAGATTTCTTCACAGAGCCGATTAAGACACTGAGTACACCTTTCGTTGAATGAAGTTGAAAAAATAATTTGATACCAAATCCAGTCAGCTCTGACAACAATTTCAGAGAATCTACATTATCTGACAGAAACATTGTGTTAATGTCTATTATAGCCTTTAACGATTGCTTTAAAAATAATAAATACAGCTTATTTGGCTTTGACGCAAGCATCAGTTGCAATTAGAATGCTGTGTAACACCTCTATTTCTCTTTTACTGGCCTGATGTAAAGTTCTAGCGCATCCCACTGCTCTAGTATTTTGTGATTGTTTCAATGTGAGATGCGAGCTAGCTTCCGTGCGCCCGACAATTTGTCAATTTTCAGCGGTTTTCTGCCACTCAATATTTCATAGATACGTCTGTAATCAGTTTGTTTTTGTTGAATTAGAAAACCAATTGCGACATTCTTTTTCTTTAAACTCTAAACGTGTTGGAATTCCTTGCAAGCATTTTCAGCAGCAAGATGCAACAAGTGTGAGACACATTTAACAACAAAATGCGGTACAGTTTTTTCTTGATGAAAATGAATGATTCTCGCCGATCATCACGCTCATGCTAATGTCGATTAATTAATTTACATCCAAACCATCTTGGAAAAGCTGGTCTTTAAAGGCTTTCACTAATGTGTCAGCGTCGCCGGCTTCAATTTCTAATAACTTGTAAAACACTGTTTTAACTTTGTATATTGTTTTACTAAAGTGATGTATCATTATACACAGGGACTTTTTCGTGTCAGTATATGTGCTCTCAACTATTACTACGGAAAAATTGCTGTCACCAATATCTTTTATTAATTCCTCAAGGATGCGTGGTGATATTACATTTTTTATTAGACCAGCACACTTAGTACGATGGAGTTTAGTCACTTAGTACAGAAGATGATTTGTACATAGCAGAAATAATCTCGCCGAGATGATCTGATGCTAAAATTGAACAACGTTCTGCAATTGCTGCAATTTGAATTACAAAACCATTCTTTTAGAATTTATGTTATTATTTAAAAACGTGTTGATTTTTTTGTTGTGAAGTTGAGAAAATTTAAAAGCCTCTTGATGTTTTTGCAGTAAGCGTAATTTGATAAATCTTTTTTAATGTGCTTGTAATGAACATTTACAAAGTTTACAAAATGCTTTTGATGCATCTCCCTCCATATTTGTAAGCCAACCTGAAACCAAATTTAGATATTAGAAAAAAATATTTTCAATTTAAACAGTTGCAGTTAGTTTAGCTAGGTACAGTTACACTAAACCAAATACACACGCACACACACCCGTATTCACAAAATTTACAATTACTGTCATTTCCCACTAAAGCTTTTTAAACATTATGGTAACACTAGCACTCAATCAAAATACCCATGCATGGCCATCACCATATCCCGTGCAAAGTAGCTATTTGTACGAAGCTGGTAACATTGCCGCAGTATATGAGACACTAATTTACGCCAGTCGTAAGCTAGTTTTATTTTAAGTTTCACTGCTGGGTTTTGATGTATTAGTATTTTCATGACGTTTTTATGAAATTATCGTTTTATTTAGCTGTACTAACATGACGGACCGTGAATAAAGCTAATAAAACGTTGTAAAAAGAGGATTTTGTTTTCATCGGGATCGGTTTTCTTTCTGTCCCATCATCAAAGGTATCGTTACTGTCGTCTGTTTTCGTTTTCGGGAGCGTTTCACAAACACCCGGTACTTATATATTCCAAATGAAAAAAGTTACTAATCATTGATTTTAATAAAATTCCTATTTTTAGCTATGATGTCAGTTTGGAGGCCAAATGATGCAATACTGGATATTATACAAGAAGGATCATGGATCAATGTATACAATATTGTTCCAACAGCTATGAGGTAATTATTTTGTAAACTGTAAAAGTGTAATTCTCTTTATTGCCAACGGTACAGATAGTAGTAGATATATTGAAGATGGGCGAATTTATTGGTGGTGAAAGAATATCCAATACCCCATACCACCTCGTGGGTCTCGTAAGAGGCGACAGAGGGGGACAAATCAGGAGATGAACAGCAGCAGCGTTAGGATGATGCTGCTGCTGTTCATCTCTTGATTAATAAGATAACGACTAAAAAAATGCGGATGCCAACCCGCTTGCCAAGCGTGGCAACTATGGAAAATATTCCCATAAGGCAATCTATGGGGGAGGCCTATGTTCAGCAGTGGACTTTTATGGGCTGTAACGGAACCAATTTATGAGTATGTTTATGCTACGACCTTGTATGCGCAGATTTTAAAGTGTAAAAGAAGCGAGAAGGATGCAAATGAAGCGAGAAAGACGTGAATAACTCTAAAGGTGGGTCTACACTAGACGAGCCAAGCACAAATTCGTGTAGTGTGGACCGACTTACAAGCCTCAAACGAGCGCGCTTTAATTTTGGTTCGTGCTCGACCGTGCTCCGCCCATTGTCGGTTTTTTGACGAAAACAAAGGGATTTGCATCGCATGCATCGATTTGCATGTTGTAGGCTCATTGTACGTCCACACTTGACACTGCGAGGAGAGCGGTTCAGCTTGTGCTCAGCTCGTGCTGCTCTCCTCTAGCGTAAACCCACCTTAATATTTTAGAAATGCGACATTCACAGAAAAGTAAGTAAAGTTACAGCCTATATACGTCCCATTGCTGGGCTCAGGCTTCCCCTCATTTCTGAGAGGGTATTGGGGCAAGGAAGTGTCCGCCGTGCTGCCCCAATGCGTGTTGGCGAACTTCACATGTCTTCGAAATTTTTTTCTTATTTCGCAAACATGCAGGTTTCCTCACAATGTTTTCTTTCACCGCCGAGCACGTAGTAAATATAATAGGTTATTCACAGAAATTAATTTTTATTTATATGTGTCATATTACAGAAATTAATTTTTATTTATATTGTATTTGGTATGTTTTCAATGCCGAAAATATTTTTCTTTCAGGTATTCCGAAATACAATTGTCTGCTGGAAGGCAGACAATTTTCAGTAGAACAACCCTCAAGGAAAATGATATAATAAAACCTATTATTACAAATCTTAAGAGAACCTGCTACAGTACTAAAGATTTAGCTATGAATCCAATGATTACTACAGACTATAACGAAGTCGACACTGTAGGGCTTATATTTTTAATTGATCCCTCAAATAAACAGTTTGAGTCAGTAAAAGGACAATTTCAAAATGTATATTTGACGGATGGAGAGAAAAACCTAATTTGTATAAATTTCTGGGGAGGTTTAAAAAAGTTTGGTTATGAGAATGTTCTTGACACAGGTCAGGTAGTGGCATGCATGAATTTGCAGAAGAGGTTTGGAAACACTAAAAAAAGCATACCCCAGTTTCGCGCCACAGAATTTTCTTATTTTACAAAAACATCAAAAGTTGCGAATGTGCGTAAAATGACAGAGGAATTAAGTAGAGCGTTATCTTGTGTAAATATAAAAAACTTTTGTCAAGAGTGTATAGCAAAGAAAAACAGTTGTTCAATAATAAGGAATAACTGCGAAAAAATATCACCGTATAGAATAAATTATAGTGACTATAATGTATCAAAACATAAAATGTTTATAGATTCACCACTGACACGAAAATTAAACCCCATTGAGGATATTTTAGACCTTAACGGACTAGACTTTGAGTCCACTTTCAAACAAATTGATACACAAGATATAAGTCCTAGTGTCTTATCTAGAAAAAAGAAAGTGGAGGAAAAAATTGCAAAATTAAAAATGTATGGAGAGCCCCCACCATTGAATCCCATACATATTATTAACAAATCTAAAAACGCAACTAGTGCTTTTAAAAGTCCTCTATCTTCAAAGAATGACAATTCTAATAGTGTTGCTAACGAAAAATTCAAAGACAATACAAATTTTACCATTAAGAATATAGAATCAAGCCCTGTGATATATGATGTTAAGAACTGTGTAAAAAGAAAAAGTTTTAATCCCATTAAGTTAAACTTTTCTAGCGATGTTCCTGTAATAGAAAATAATGGAAGCCAAGTCGTTGATCCCTTTGCAGAAGAGTTCGATGATAGTCCGCCTTTAAGCTTAGACTAGTTTTTTTTTTAAATTCGATTTATTCTTTAATAAATATACTGGGCAATTTTACCATTTGTATTTGAAGTACTTTTTAATGAATGTATAATTGACATAACATCCTATTGTAAATATTGTAAATCCATTATAAATCTATAAACAATTTTCTTCATAACCTTTTTTTATATTATTTAGAATTTTACAATACTGTTGATACTATTACGTGTCGATAATTAATTGTAAATCAAATGTTCGCAGAGTAATATATATATATTTGACAGGTTTTAACGGATACTAACTATTAGTTTCTGTTGTTACATGGTGAATACCAGCACCGCATTTAAAAGCTCAATAAAGGAAGTAAAAACAAAAGATAGGCAATTGCTGATGAATGATAATAAAACACAGTTATAATAAAAAATAGTATTTGACACATTGTTTTACAACTCATATAATAATCTTTATTAAATATAATGTTGCATTAAGATGAGGTACTTTTTGCAAAACAGACCAACCAACGTGAAAATATTAGGTTTTTCTCTTTATGTTAGATCCTAGATGGCAGCCACACCCAATGTTACACCGAGTGCTAAATCATATAAATGATAACATTGTATATTTTTATATTATAAGATGCTATTACGAATGTTTTTTGTGAATTTTGTATAAAAAGTCCTCTCTTTTGAAACTACTTAACTTATTAATTTAATTTTATATTTTGTGCCCAAAGTATAGCATAGTGATCATATTTTATTAATAATTTATAAGTTGTTTAAGTTTATATAACCATAAAATGCAAATATAAGTATTTTGAAACGTCTAATGTTGTTGCCATTTTTGTTGATTTAAATATATGTTTAGAAAATTACGTTTTCGTGTTTTATTATTTAAATTATAAATTAAAAAAAATATTCATAATTTCAGCAAGAAAAGATAATAGTATCTCACCATGGTCTATATTGTAAGAGTGCTCATTGGCATAATTTTTTTCATGTTTTTTTTTTATAAAGATAAGGGCTGAGAAATGAGCACACATTCCACCTGATGGTAAGTGGATACTGCGGTCCATGGACATCTACATTTATCTTCATTTAGGAATCAAAATGCAGATGCGTTGCCAGCCCTGAGAACTGAGATGGAATGCCCCGTCTCCAGTAAAAAGGGTCTCCGGTTCTCTACACTCATCATACGAAACAGCTGCATAAAGCTGCTGTTTTACGCTGGTATTCTGTGAGAGCGTGGTCCTTCCCCGGTCGAGCCGACCCATTCGTGCTGCAACCACAATATAGCTGCAGCATGGCTCTACCGCGTAAAATCCTATTATATTGATAAAGCAGTATCTAAACTATATATTTCATTTTTGCTTAAAATACGGGGTAATCAGCGTAGCGAATATCGTAACAGTAACCCAAAGTGTAGAATTTATATCAAAGAGTATATCCGCACTACGAGTCAAAGAACGGACAAAGAAGCTTTACAAGCCCACTTACAAGCCTTAAGGGAAAGCGTAATGATGCATCAAGTTATTTTTAATGATGTTAACTACCAATAATTTTATTAACATGTACAATAACGTTAATCTTTTCAAATACTCTACAGATGACTTATTCGTCGGTCGCGGTGATTTAAATAAATACGAGTACATTTTAACATGCAGTGTGGTGGGGGCCATCACCCCATTTTTTCGTAAAATATCGTAAAAGACGATTATGGGCAATGCCTGAAAAACCTCATGAGTCATGGCCTCCGATGGATGGCGCTGAAACCATCATTTTTACGGCAGACGTAAAATGTATGGACCGGTGACAGCATCCACCAAGCTCGTAACACATATAATAAAAAGTAGAAATAAACACACTTTCCCGATATGTACAAAATCCTACAGACAATTTAATCGAATAACTTGTTTCTATTCATTGAATAAAACTATATTTACTGATTTTAATGCGTTTAATTAACTATTTTAACTTATTTTTAATTCCCGACGTTTACATAGGTCAAACAAAAAGATCTATAAAAACCGCGTGAAAGAACATATGCCTGACGTATGCATATACCGACGCGCACGGAAGTCTGCAGTCTGTGAACACGTTCAAGATCGTCCCCACCATTACATCAGATTTGATAAACCACAAATCCTCGCAAAAGAACACCGATTCCTACCAAGGATGATACGCGAGGCTATAGAAATAAGAAGCTATTGCATACCATTTTTTATCAACTTATGCAATTATAATTATTTATTTATTTTATTTATGCAGTTAAGTCTTTGATATTAAATCAAGTTACACTTTTTGAGCGTGGTGACCGATAAGAAAACAATTTTTTTTCTCTTATTGAATAAATGAGAAGTTAATATTGTTTAAAATATTTTTACTATCTTACAATAAATGTAGGTTATTCAGGAATTTTTATCATTGAGTTAGCAGCTAGTGTACACGCATACGTCCCACGCACACACACGTGCCAGTCTGCCGAACTGAAACGACGTTAGACGATGCACGGCTTTCAACGCCACACCTCCGTGCCCGTCGGAGTGGGGAGCGTGAGGTTTTTTTCGTTACGGAATTTCTGGATTCGGTCCCCCGCGCTCAAGGCCCGCGATAGAAGCTATGCAATAGCTTAAAAGTAAAAAAAAAGTAAAGTTACAGCCTATATACGTCCCACTGCTGGGCACAGGCCTCCTCTAATTTCTGAGAGGGTTTTAAGGCAAGGAAATGTCCGCCACGCTGCCTCAATGCGTGTTGACGGACTTCACATGTCTTCGAAATATATATTTTTTAATTTCTCAGACATGCAGACCCGAGTTCGATCCCCGCCGGCACCAATGAAATTGTTAATTGCAATTGTGCTGATTTACCACGTGCTCGGCGGTGAAGGAAAACATATTGAGGAAACCTGCACGTCTGAGAATATAATTATAATCGAATGTAAATCAAATTGACATAGGTAAGTACAGATAAAATTAGCGGAATTATAATAAAAATTTGAGATCGTTTTTTTTTTCAAAATTTTATTTATATTCCGCTATTTTTGTCTGTGCTTATATCAATTTGATTTACATTTGATCTCTAAATTGTAGTTTGCGAGGGTAACGGGGATCTATCAGCTCCGGCAAAACACATTTCTGATAAAAGCTATCTAATTTTAAAATTTTGTCTGCCGTCCAAAACGCATCATCTCTTTCAATGATATCAATTTCTATGCCAAACAGAGTAGTATCGAAATCCAAAGTTCAAGCAGGGGTCAATGTAGCGTAGTAATTTAGAGCGCAGGTATAGCTATAGTCATACGAACGTCACAGGCCGCAGCTGACTGAGTCGAATAAAACTAGAATAAGCGCGCGTCACCGCGCATGCATGTGTGTGTAAGTGTCGTCCTCCCGCACCGCACCGGGGGGAAACATTATTCAGTGAGATGCACGATAATTCATACAAACACGCGCGCGTAAAAAAAATACGAAAAGGCCTTTGGAAGAAGGGGTTTTATGAAAAAACCACTGCATAAATCAATTACGAATAAAATTTAGTGAATTCTTCGATAATTGAGCTGTGTCGGTACCGACTTTGTCTTGGAAATTTTATACTGCTTTTATTACTAATTTACGCCCAAAGTTGTGTTAAAATTGGCAATAAAAACGAATCTTTGATAGCTCGTAACTTTTTAATGACTTTTTATTTTACTATTCTGTTTCCGTACAGACAAAATTAATAATGAGACAAAACGATATCATGTTTAACTGTCACTTGTATGTACTGTTGATGTACACTGTCAAACAGCGGAGTAAAACCCCTCCGAAATTTCTATGGAAATAATGTCGACTAGTGTCACCTTAAGTAGGAGAATGAATTAAAAACTATGTATATTACGGGGATTCTGGATAATTTGTAATATGGAAGGGAGTCCTGATTGGTTTCCCTCCGTCTGGCAATATACGAATATTTGTATATCGATATATGGTAAATTTTCAAAGAAATGAGTTAAACACTATCTTTGAAATTGTTTAATGGACCAATATTCGCAGTCATAATGTATTAAAATTGCTTACAAGTGGTGGACGCTACAATAATGCGAAATGAAAGGACGTAGAATCAATATTGTGATATATATATATATTAGAGATGGGCCGAATGTGATTTGAACCGAATCCGAACTTCGGTTCATTTTCGCACGCTTTCTCGAGAGCGACGCGTCGTGACTTGTTTACGCATTTACTTCAAATACCCCGCCCGCACACCGCAGGAAACATATACCTACGAAAAAAACGTAACAAACTTCTGCCAGATAAGGCAGATCTTTGGTGTTTTTGCACCGTAACCTGACTCTGGTAAATTTTAAATATGACTAGATAGACAAGAAAAGTTGGTTTAATATGATTGTTGAAAACAAATACCCTTTAATTGTAATAAAAAAATACTTGAGGTTAATGAATGTTGAATCAAAAACATTATTTTTTTATTTAATTTACGGACTCCTATCCAGATGTTTACTAGGAGAATACAAAGTTTATTTCATTTTTGTAATATGGCTAATTATTAATTAGGCAGGGATTTCTAAGATTAATAACTAATTAACTAAGATTAAGGTTAAGAACTAAGATTAAGATTAATGATAAGATAGGAACTGATTTAATATAAGGTTTACATTTACAATGTTCCGAAATAAATAAATAAATAATTGACCGTGAGTGAGTAAAAATAATATCTTTTATTTTACAATATCTAATGTTGTTATATAAGGTGCTTCTACAATATATGCCACGGTTGTTTGTATGGAGACTTGGCCAATCAGCTGACCGATTGACATACAAAGTGCAATTTTTTTTGAGAATTGACTATGGGTTCCTTGGGGAAAGTGTACATAAGTAAACAGTATCATGAGTAGAACCACCAGTTGCAGCCATGGCATATTGTAGTTTAGAAGCACCTTATATTTCAGTTAAAATAAGTGCAAGTAGGTATTATTTTTCTTGTACCGAATTTCGGCCCATCTCTAAATAAAAAAAAAAAAAAAAAAAAAAA